AAAGTTCTTGCCATTTAGTGCAGTTTTGGCTAATCGCTCAATTCTCACAAAAATCTCTGCTCAGACCTTATCGTAGCTATCATGGGTTGGTGCACTAGTCCTGTCTTCCACAATTCTAAGGTATTTGTACCCTTAAGTTCCCTCCAGTAGCGCCATACTTCTGTGCAAGTGGCTGACTTTGCTGGATTTACTTCTAGTCCTACACATCAAGACACTTGTCAGTTTTTTTAGCTATAGATTTCATGATATCCTCGTCGATCACAAACATCTTGAGATCCTCCATAAACTGTATATGGTTCGCTGCTTGTTTTCCTTTATTGGTGAGTACATCTCATACTGAGCCCATAGCTCAATAGGTCCATGCAGAAGACTAATGACAGCTGATAAAGGCTTGTCTTGGAGAATTTCTCATTATATTTTCTTCTCCATTGTTTTTCAGTACAGCTGCCCATCTAAATGTGATGCTTATCAGGAACCTGCTGATTCACGATGGAAAGTTTTTCAATGCACTTAATCAGGTATCTATGATTAGTTGAAACGGACGCTTTTTAAATGTCATACCACGTAGTATAAAGCTAAATCCCGTGCGGTCTGCAAATCGCTCGATTCAGCAATGCTTGTTTTTTCGCACCTTGAGCCTAAGTAACAGTTCCTAATTGGTCCTTGCAAGTAGCCTTCTCATGGCAACATCCAATTGCGTGACACGTTCTATACATTTTTGTTGTCAACTTGAAAAGATTTGACTTACAAGTTATTGGCCTGAAGTCGTTGCCTTGGGACACCTTTTGGAATTATATAGGTAGTTCCTTTGTAAGACCACGGATGCTGTCCCTCCTTATCCAGATAAATCTTTTTTACTATTCTGCTTAGGTCTGAATGCAAGGAGTTGCACTTCTTAATAAAAGGTAATCGACTCCATCAGGCCCTGCCACCTTCCAGTTGGGGGAAAAAGGAAATTATCTTCTCAAATTCGGCTTCAGAAGAGAAAGTATCATGTAGAGAAATTCGTATATCATCGTCTTTTCCCATCGCCGAGTTCCAATCGTACTCTAAAATCCCTGGTTTTCTCTGTCCCTACATTATGGTTAACAGGCTGTTATTCGGTCAGATTTTCATGCAACCGTCTTTTGAACAGCTTGAATCAAGTGTTTTGGATTTTAAGTGCCTGGTTCTGGTATACTGGCAGAGTGCTACTGTCATATTTGATGGTTACACTTTGCCATTATTTTTAAGTGCTATGATGTTATACTATTTTTTATGTTTTGCATAATTAGTTGTTAATTTTTGAAAACCTTAATTTGGTATGTTAATAACAACTTACTACGCGTGTGTAGCTTAAATGCATTCCCATAAACAATTCATAATGCTGATTTTATATTTAAACTCTTTCGAATGAGCCACACCTCTTTTATTCCAGGTAACGACTAAAATTCAATTTTATTTGCTATGAACCATCATTTATCTCTCAGCTTCTACGTAAGTTATTAAAATAAGACGTCTGAGGCATCAACGATGATATTATTGTCAGAATCCATAAACTTGTCTCTTACATAATTTGAGGAAATGTAAGTAATAAATCTGTGTTTTGTCTATCAAATCAAAGACTTTTTATAGAAGGCACTAAAATCAGAAACTGAATAGGAACAGTTAAGGTATAGATAGCAATCAATGGAATATTTTTTTGCAGTGATCGAGACCCTCAATTATTGGAACTGTTCTTAAATTGCAGATTTTAATTAATGCAAGGTCATCAAAATTTCCAAGCAAATGAGAATAATTTTCGATCATATTTTGATAATTTGCTTTTTTGTTGTTTCTGTCTTCTGTTTAATTATATTCTTAAATTACAACATGTAGTGTTGTATGTATTATGCGCCAGCATAAAAGCATTAAAATTGATGTTTCTTGTTTAATATCTATAGAAATCAATGAGGTCAAGTCATTCCTTCGTACTAATTCAAAATGAAACAGTTGTTCAATTTATTGCTAAGCTTCTCATGCCATTAATCTTGTCGGAGTAATATCTAGCCAGGGCGAAACCAAGACTTTCCTGCATTTTTTTTGTCTACCGTCTTGCATCCCTTCTATGTGCTTCATATTGTTTTCCTCTCATTTTTATTGTTTTTTCATTTTTTGTCTACTTTAATTAACCGACGTCTAAAGGATTTTTCAAAAATAAATTCAATCAATATGTAGTTAACTGTGATATATGCTTTATATATATATTTCACACCACAAGGTAGGAAATAATGGTAAATATAACGAATTCAATTTCTTTATATTAATTTAGGCAAAGTCACGGTTGTTCATTATTTATAATAATTTAAATCACTGTTTGGATACTATGTAGCGCTTCTGCTGTGTTTGTTTTGCTCCTGACACATTTAGCCTCAATATTTTGGTGTTGCATTTTTCACAATCTCAACACTATTATTTGCGGCCATTTATCTGCTATTTTCAAAAATTTGATGTTATCGATATGGCGAAAATTCACATAAGCATGTGCGGTTGTTATAAATCAAGGACAGTCAGTATTTCAGCTTGGAAGGTGAAGATTTCTCTCTGTGTTTTTATTGCAACCTTTGTTTTTTTCACATGTAACTTGTAAAAATCGGTTTTAAAAATTTTTTGCAGATTTAGATAAACGAATAATAATATGGGTTGGAACGGCACGATGATGTGTGATGTAATGCCCACAATTTCTGAAGATGTTGTAGATCCTCCTCAGGTTCACGAATGATCATTATTGCTGTCAGTTTTTGTATATATTGGGATTGATATATAAGTTCGTCATCATATCTTTCAGGGTTCTATGACGAATTCAGTAGAATTATCAGGTGCAAGTAGTGAGCAAAATCGTATGGAGCAACTAATGGTAAATATGCTTGATGAACGTGACAAATTGCTCGAACAGCTACAAGTAATATATTTTTTCGTTGTTTCATTCTCTAAATGTTATATTTCTTGCTTTGGGTAAAATTGTTTAATGATGAAGACATCGTTTTTTTCACAAAGTAGCCTTTTCTGCTGCTTTTTGACATAATATGAATTATGTGATATTCTTACTGATTTATTTCTTTAATTTTTCTAGCTGAGCCTCAATAAGTTGTTTTTATTCTTTTATGACAGGATGCCCAGCGACGTATCGATGATTTGCAGTTGCATATAAAAGATGCGGAACGTGATAAAGAAAGTTTGCGCAGGCAGTTTGATTTGCAAACACAGCATTTGCCTGGTGTTAGTTCTCTTATTTCTTAGTTTGATTGTAAAAAGATTTCAGGAGAACGGTTGATTGTTAATTTTATTAAACTTTCTGAATCATCACAGTTATTGTCTCGAAATATGCATTTTTTTCAGTGTATTGTAACTGCTTGCAGAAATTTGTGTGTACTCTTTTTCCAAGAAAAGCTTATGAGTCTCAGGTTCATTTACTTCTGTTGTTAACCGTTCAGAAATTATATGAGATTTTCGATATCATTTATACTTTGTGTTATAGGAATTACAATCATTAACAAAGGAATTGGTTCAGTTGCGAGAGCAACTGCTAGAAAAAGATGAGGAGATTGTGGAATTAAAAGCAGAACGGAATAATATAAGACTGCTCTTGGAGCATCTGGAGTGCCTTGTAAGTGTACTTGTAATTGCTTTTGCTTTACATTGTTAATATGTGTTTGAATGATTGTAGGAATGATTTAGTTTTTTCCGAACAATTTGTTGTATTCTTTGCTATTTCAAAGTTACTGTTGTTTAACTCGGCAGAGAATTTTTGAACCTTTTTTTCTTAAGTTCATTTCAGGTTTCAAGGCATGAACGTTCCTTACGAATGACAGTTATGAAGCGACAAGCTCAAAGTCCAGCAGCTGGTGTGAGTAGCGAAGTTGAAGTTTTGAAAGCTCTGAAGTCATTGTTTGAGCATCACAAAGCATTAGATGAGAAAGTAAGTTCATCAAGTTTCTACTGCTAATAGTTTTCCAAATTACAACTCTATACGGTGTGCAGTCGTATATTCAGTGCCTTAAAAAATTGTAAATTAAATTTTCCATAAATACATAGGTCCGAGAACGATTACGTGTTGCAATGGAGCGCGTTGCAACGTTGGAAGATGAACTTTCAGCGAAAGGAGATGAAAATTCGTCTTTGAAAGCAAAACTGGCCAAAGTAGTAGCCGAAGTAGAAGAGGCCCATCAACAAGTATGTCAGTTGCTTGTAGTGAACAGACTTTCATATAAAAGAGTTCATTTTTTAATTTCTAAAGCTATAGATTGGTAGAACTAGTCTTAAATTCCAGATAATATTTAGAGTTGAAATAATTGCATTTTTATTGCTTATAAAAACTTTTACAGCTAAATACATCACAGAATGGGATAGCAGCAGAAAAACAACAACCGATTGTGAGTTTATTCTTATTAACTGTGAAAATGTAAAATTTTGGAGTTCAAGAAGCTTTTTGAATGTCAAGGATGTCTTCATGTCATATTTTCAGTTTCTGGAATCTTCTTGTAGGATCAGTTAAAAAAACTAACATGAAGTTATTATCTTTTAAGGGACCAGTTGAGTCTGCTGGAGTTTTAGTTGAATTGCAAGATGCATGTCAGCGTTTGAAGCAGGAATTGACAAGCAGTTTACAAGAATGTCAGGATCTAAGTAATCGGTATTGTATCTATCTGGGTCCTAAATTTTATTTTTTCATTTCTTTCTCAAGGTATCTAACGCTGTGCTAAATTTCAAATGCCAAGATTGGTTTAAAGACATTGAATATGAGCAATAATAATGACACATTTTTAGGAACTCAGAATTAGAAGACCAACTTGGTAGTGCCCAAAAAGAAGGTCGGTTACAACAAGAACAAGCCAACAAGCTACAGCATCATCTCCAAGAAGTGAGATTACATATTTTTCAGTTGCAGTCACTTAATTTGTAATCATGTCGCTTATATCAAGTTGAATTTTTGATATATGTGAAGCACTTTAATTATCATTGGTGGTATTTTAAGCTACAAGCGCAGCGTGAAGATCAAGAAGCACGGATTTCAACTCTAGAAAGTCGCTATATGACTTCTCAACGCGAAACAACGTGTTTGCGAGATCTAAATGATAAGCTGGAACACCGAGTCAGTTAATAACAATTCATATTTATGATTACCTTATTTGCAGTTAATATTATTAACGTGATTTGCCATTATTGTTATATATTTTATTTTTTATTCTATATTTATTTTTGACTAAGCTCTGCTGCTACTGTTACTACTGTTGGGGTTACTGACATTGTATTTTGTCAAAATTTTCTTTTTTTCGTTCAGGAAGTTTTTGATGGGGAATATTCCACAAATTTAAATTTTTTCTCGAAATTGAACACTAGTTTGTTATAACGATTTTCGATCGGAATTTGAGCTTTGGTCTGTAGAAAAAACCAGTAAACGCTTATTGTTGTAGTTTTGTTAGTGGATTATTGCATTTTTTTTATTACAGCTTGCTAATAAGGATGCTGCTGTGAGATTGAATGAAGAGAAAGTTCGCAGTTTACAAGAACGTTTGGAGTTGGCTGAAAAGCAGCTAGCACAGAGCTTAAAAAAAGCGGAGTCTTTGCCGAGTATAGAAGCAGAATTACAACAACGTATGGAAGCACTTACTGCTGCAGAGCAGGTGGGTTTGACCTTGTATTTGGCAATTTTTCATGTTTTGGTCGCATTAAGTCTTTTTTTAGTACTACGAATAGCTAAAAAAATAGTTCAATCTATTTTACAGAATATCATAGGTTTTCCCCCAGTTTTTAAAGAAGTTTCAAATTATATGTTTGGTCTTTTTTTTCTTCCTTACCTTATTCTTTGATTGTAGAAACAGCTCAGTGCTGAAGAACAAATGCATCGGTTAGCTCGACAAGTTGAAGAACGTAGCGCTGAATTGGAACGTGCTGTACAGCGTGAGAAAATGAACGAAGAGCATAATCAACGTTTGTCATCCACTGTTGATAAGTTATTGAGCGAATCAAATGATAGGTGAGAATTTCTTACAATATCTGACTTTATTTTTTCTTTTCAAAAATTTAGTGTTGCTTGACATGCAACATTTATTTTGAGAAGATTTGATCCTACAATTTTAAATGTTTTTTAGTCTTTGATTCTTCACTTTTCTGACTTGATTTTTAATATTTTCATCACTGTCGGATGAACGTTATTGAAAACACTGTTGCATACTACTAACTACAAAAAATTTTTTAGATTGCAACTACATTTAAAAGAACGTATGCAGGCATTAGAAGAAAAAAATTTGCTGACGAAACAACTAGAGCAAACTAAGAAAATTTATGATCAGGTAAATTGCAGTTTTGTGTGCAGAATTTCCGGTATTTGATAGTTATTAAAATGAAGCACAAAAATCGCTAATTTAGTGTGAAAGGACGAAAGAACGGTTACTACGCGATAATGAAAGCTTGCGACAGGAAATCGAAGTCTTGAGAAATCAATTATATAGTGCTCGTACTGCGCAGTATCATTCTAGGTGACTTTTCCTTTTTTTGATTCAGTTTTATGATCAGTTCTCAATTTTATTGCCCTTAGATCTAAAAATTTTATTACCCCTTGATTTGTGACTTAAAAATGCTAAAAATTAACGATAGCATTGTTTATTGCCTGACAAATGTTTTGCAGATTGCATAGCTCACCTATTATATTACCACTTGCTGCACAGTCAGTGTCTGTACAATCTTCTTCCGGAACTAGTGCTCCTCCTCCATCTTCTGTCGCGGTAGTTTTTAAAATTAATTTTCTCATGTACCATAACATTTTTGTTACTTACGGTCATTTCTTAAAGGCTGTTGGAGCATCCAATAATGGCTCAGTTTATGGAGGAATACGTCGTTCGCAGAAAGGCCGTCTGCAGGCATTGCAAGAAGATCCAAGTAAGGTGCAAACACTGAATGAGCAAGAATGGGATCGATTGCAGCAAGCACATGTGCTTGCTAATGTACAACAGGTCAGAACTTTGCGTTATAGTTAAAATGAGGTCTTTTATATAACCATAAATTATAATGGTCTTCAAATTTCATTTGCAATAGTTTTCAGTCTTGAAAATTCTACCAGCACGATTTTTGAATTGAAATTGTGATCGTTAGTTCTTAATTGGAGTGAATATTTTTCGGATTACTTTTCAGGCCTTTTCATCATCGTCTTCCATAATTGATATGGCTGTTGGTGCAAGTGGTGGGTCGACCATAGGACCACCAGGTCCAAGTACTTCAACAATTCCAGGTGGTGCAGATCCACATACTCTTGCTAATATGCTGCAGGAAAGGTGCATCTTTACATACCATTTATGAAACCGTGTTGGCTGTTAAATTACGTTAAGATTAATAAGATGAATTGCTGATGAGCAATGATGTTTTTAGACTAAACGCTGTAAATTCGGAGATTCGATTGATTGAACAAGAAAAAACACATACAGAACGTATTGCCGAACAGTTGGAAAGTCGTGCCTCTGCAGTTGCAGCTGCAGGTTTTTTTCCATTCCTTTGGAGAAGAAAAAATAATTAAAATGGTGTCACTCAATGGAAAAAACTCTTCAAAATTTTGATTATCATTTTTAAGTAACATATTTTTAAGTGGATGCAAATATAAAAACAGGAATAGTCGTAATGGCGGTACAACGATGATTAATTTACTGAAGGCAAGGAAATAAAGATGAAATATTGAAAAAATTGTTTGTAATAGCATGTATTATTGCTTTATTTAAGATTTGATTGTTAAGCAACAATTTAATATTTTATTGATCATCAATAAAAGCCCATCGATTTTGCTTTCAGTGGGTGAAGAACCTCAAGCATTATCGTCTCGTTCAACACCTCGTAACTCACCTCAGCACGATTTTTTGGTTACTAAATATAATACGGTTTTTACTTTGATCTTATCGTTTCTCCTATATGCACTTATTCATTTTTCGATCTTGGTTGTTATCGTTACTTAGTGTGTTTTATAATTTTCCACTTTTTTTTCCCTGCAATTTACGATTCATCTCACTTTGAACCAGATATTTTTTTTAATTTTGACATCGTTCATTCTTTTTAAGCTTTTCCCTTTAACCCATGCTACTTTTTGTTGTGTATTAGTTTGTTTTTGTAGTTACCAGCAAATGCATCAACATCTTTTATTCATAGTGGAAGTGGTAGTGGTCTAGTAGATTCCTCATACAGTCATCAGGTAAACGTACTCAGTCTACATATCTGTTTGACGCTTGTTCTAGGTGTTTTGTGTTTTTATTGAGTGTATCAAATTGATATGGGCATTCATAACTTTGATTATTTTGGGAATAAACTTTAGCTTTCACCACCAAAGTTGCGGTTCGGTGCAACAGATGATATTTCAAATGGCATAACGGCTCTTGATTATGGATTGCATGGAAGGAGATATCCGAACGTAACGGATCAAATGCAGCATTCATATACGGTATAGTTCTAAAGCATTCATTTATTCAGTAACCTTCGTTTAGCTTTTTCATGAAGGTGGGCTGTAGTTCCTTAATTTTAGTCAAATGCTGAGTTGTTAAACCTATGATTTCTTTATTTGATTTAGTTTTATTTGTAGAGTTCTATTCTTGATGATGAATATAGCCCAAGTCCTGGCCCAACACATGCAGGGTTATTAATAGATCGACTTTCACCTACGTCATCTGTTACATCATCACAACATGATTATTCTCCTCTTTATGGTACACCCAGTTCTGTAAAAGGTATGTCTCTTTTTTCTTACGGGTATTTGTCTCGGGATTTGAAAGCTGATGATTCTCTATGTCCTTCGTAGAAAAAAGATTTGTAATGTTAATGGATGTAATTGGAAACTGTAGGAACAAAGAAACAGCGTTCAACATCTTCAACAGCAGCAAAGACTCTCGGGCGTTTATTTAATAAAAAGACAAAGAATAGCAGTTGCAGTCATAATTTACGAGTGGCGCAATGTGAATCAGGTATATTAGATTAAAATAATGACACCCAAAAAAACTCAGTTATTTATACATTTTTATTGATGATATAGTTTATTATTTCGCATTTAGGTGCATATTCTGACAGTGAGTTGTCGTCAGTCGAGAACATGATGGTCACACCTGGTGCAGCTGCATCTTCTTCATTAACGGGTCGGTCGTTTCTCTAGAAAAAGTAGATTTCCTAGTTTCTGTAAATAGTTATCTCGTTTGATGTCTTTAAATAATTTTTTGGATATCAGTAGATCATTTGATTGGTGGCGAATGGAATATCTTTAAATTAATGGTTACCGAAATTTCAAGATGCTTCAGTATTTCATTTGGAAATGTTTTTTTGATATTTAAAACTCATTGTGTTGAGGTACTGCCATTCTTTCTACATGAAACTCATCGCTTGAATTAATTTCAGGTAAGTCCACCAACGGAGGACTGGTACTAAGTACTGCTAAAGCTGCTGATTTCAATAGGCGAAAAAAGAAAAAATGCGAGTTATTAGACGAGGTATCCTTTAATTTTCTTTTTGATTTTCTACTGGTGGTGAGAACGTGTACATAGTGGAAGAAAAATCAGGATTAATATATGTTGTAGGCAATGAAAGCACGCACACCTTTTGCTTTATGGAATGGACCTACAGTTGTGGCTTGGTTAGAATTATGGGTTGGCATGCCTGCTTGGTAAATAATTTGTTTCCGCTTTATAAATTTGACTGTCACCATCATAAATTCTTGATTGCTTATTGTAATATTTACTTTTGTCAGGTATGTGGCGGCTTGTCGTGCAAATGTAAAAAGCGGGGCAATTATGAGTGCATTATCTGAACAGGAAATTCAGCGTGAAATTGGTATCTCAAATCCACTGCATCGCTTGAAATTACGACTGGCTATACAAGTATGTAGAAACTGAACATCATTTGTCGTTAACTTCTTGTTAACGACAAATGATGTTCATGAGAGACGCATGTTTGATCTTGATAAGATATATATGTATATATTATGTTGATACAATTTCCAAATTTCTTATGTTGCAGGAAATGGTGTCGTTGACATCTCCGTCGGCACCACATACCACACACACAACACTAGCATTTGGTGAAATGAATCACGAATGGATCGGTAACGAATGGCTTCCTTCATTAGGTAAACTATCCTTATTTGTTTTTCCTGTAATAAGGTAGTTAACTGTTTTAGTAATATTCGATTATTTGAATTTCCAACTTTTGAGGTTTGGCACAATACCGGCCGGCATTCATGGAATGTTTATTAGATGCTCGAATGTTAGAGCATCTTTCTAAGCGTGATCTCCGAACGCATCTCAAAATGCTTGATAATTTCCATCGGTGTGTTCACTTAATCTATTGATTATTGAGTACTTGCTGTGTGATCGGTGTATTGCGCCATTTTCTTTACTTTGTTACTCAGTTTTCTTTTTCAGTGCTAGCTTGCAATATGGTATAATTTGTTTGAAGAAACTTAATTATGATAAGAAAGTGTTGATGGAGAGGCGAAAGGCATGTGAAAATGTTAATAGAGGTTAGTAATTTAACTTGGTTTTGTTGTATTAATTTGATGAATAAAAAACACATAGACGATTCAAATTCGAGTATTATGGGAATATGAAATGGTATAATTTGGTGTGTAATCACGTCATGTGATTATATGAACAGTTTCAATATTATTAAAAAGTTCGGACCAAATACGTTTAAAATACGTTTATCATGTTTTTAGACGTGCTAGTATGGAGTAATGATCGAGTAGCGCGCTGGGTAGAAGAAATAGGTCTTGGAGCATACGCAGCGCAACTTAAAGATAGTGGTGTACATGGTGCCCTCATTGCACTTGATCATACATTTGATGCACAGAGCTTGGCGCTGTCACTTCAAATTCCACCACAGGTATCCTCTCATTTTTTTTGCAATTTTTTTGGTTTTTTTAAAACGCTGTGTAATTAGTAACTAAATTCGATGGAAGAATTGCAGGATTTTTCTGCGCGTCAATTATTAGAACATGCATTTGAGCAGTTGGTCATGGCTGGTGATTGTCAAGGCAATCCAACAACATTTAGTAGTAATATCGTTAATATGGATTGTTGTGGCTCAAGTGCAGCAGTTAATCCAGCAGTAAGTGCAACGCCAACTACTGTCTCGGGAGCAGCAGGAAATTACTGCTCGGTACCCCCACCATCTCCTCCTAGCTGACCATAGCTTTCTGGGCCACATTAGTGAATTAAAAGATTGAATGTTATACTTCCTCATCTCCCATTAACGTAGTATCTTTGATGATTGCTTTTATGTCGCTTCGGTTTGTCTACTTAGTTTACTTTACCCAAAGTCGATGTGAACATCTGAACATCATTGTTCTTTCAAGTTCGGAGGCCTTACACTGATCCTAAAAAAATTACTTCGCTTTGTGCTTAACTTATATTAACCGGTGGATTGTTCATGTACTAATCCCTTTGTTTTAATAAATTGTTTCTCAGAACATCTCTGTTGAACAATTATTTTAAACAAATGCTTTATTTTTAACGCTCACTAATTCATGATTTTCAATTATTCTAATGAAAGTATAGAAGCGGAAGTAGATTAAGTTTCCTAAAAGTGATTTTCCTAAATTGGTTTCTTGTGACACAAAGTAACAGATTGCGGTTCTTAATCATTGCGCAAACATCACTTCTGAAATGGTCATTGTCATCTAGTGCATAGATGTGAAAGGGAATATCATGGTTGAGTTTCATAGCTTCCTTGTTCTTTTGTATTTTGAAATGACAAAGCAGTTTTCTCAGTTATGTGACAGCTGAGATACGTTAGAGAGATTCTGTGCTGTTAAAGTTGTAAAGGCATCTAAATTAATCAACAGATACTCATTTATTATTATTCATGGTTAATCTGTTCGCATGGTTCTCGCGCTTTCCTTACTGTACATTATAAAAATTTTACTATTACTCCTTCTGGAACATAACGAGTGAATTTGTTATACTTCTGTTAGGTCTTTAAATTAAGTTGACCTCAGTTTTTTAGTTAGTAATTTTTATTATGAAACGTTTCCTATTAGCTGTTTTTGGTTCTCGCGTTTTTTTGCTACTTGTTTTTCTTGTTTCTGTGCTACTGGGTTTCAAAGGTCATAATAAGAGTTGATAAATATTGACTGTTACTTATGCTCATGAATGCTCAAGATTCGTGGAAAGATTCTAGATCTCTTAGATATTCAAAAGAATTTTTCGGGATCTTGATACGCGTGATAAAAATGCTAGTGCTATTTATACGTGTGCAATCTTAAACTCTTCACCTTTTCCCGTTAATTACTTTTAATTCTTTTTCCTAACTGGTTGAAGTATGAATTATTTTAACCTAGATCTTACCACTGATGGTAAGGAAGCGTTAGCATGTTGTACCGGTAGTCATCTCGATCTCAAATTCATGGAATGTCTATAAATGACCAAATGTCCTTGATTATTCGTTAAGTTATAGTAGTTTATCTTCTCTTCTCTACCCGTTTTTGAATTCCAATTCATCCCTGTAACAAATTTCCAGATAATTGTGGAAAAGCGTCCTGACCGAATTATGATTATTAATATATTTACATACCATTTGATTATCTTTCAGTTGTAGGCGAACTAATATTTGGTCTATTAAATTCCTTTGAAATGACTCCAATCCATTTAATCTCGTTAATATTTCATCCCTTGCAATTGGACTATGTAAGTCCAGTTGTGGGGGAGATGTATGTGCATTATTGTAGTGGGAGAGGCTGCAACCAAGGCATGTTATGCACTAGTTTTGCTTACATATGTTGAAAGTTTGTTTCTGGGCTGAAATTCCTAAAGCTTGTGTTGCTTAAAGAAATGGCACACGTCTTAGTCTTATATTCTTGAACTGTGATATGAGATGCTTCACTGCTGGAAAGTTCTTGTGACGTCAACTTCATGCAGTTCAGTTGTGATTATTGAACAATCCATTCAGCAAAAGAAACATGGCACAGGCAACCTAATCACTTATTATTAATTTTAATATGAGTTGTTCCCAGTTTGCATCTCAATTATAACTTTGGACTCTGCAAAAATAATATGAAATTTGCAGTCACGGAGATACCATCGTAGTGTAAATCGGAACGGTCATTCACCAGCTCCTCGATCATTCAACTTCTTTCCTGCTGCTATTGAGCATTGCTTATCTGCTATACCGTGAAACTATCATGCTTTGGATTCCACACTACGAATGCTGGAAATCCATGAGTGGAAACCATATTCTGAGCAATTCGTCTACATGTTACGGGGAGCCTAGACTACGCTGCAGACTAGAAGTTTTCTTTATCTGACGATAAATGTGCGGGGAATTTCTGGAAGTATTAGCCGACGCATTTTAGCACTGTATCGCTGCAAGTTCTTGTCTTTCTAAAAATCATTTATACGGTTGTGATAAAATTATCAGAAAACAAATACATTACACTTCACACTTTAAACTTTTTCGGTCTTGGACCAAAAATATGTTGATCAAAGTCTAACAGCACATCATATTCACAACAAGAAATGCTTATTTACAAGTTATTATGATGAAGAAATGTATAATGCGATGAGTAGAAGCAAAGATCTCTGTGTAGGAATTAATTCCTTTTACGGAAGTCCTGAAATCTATTTCGGATGTCTGGTACAGAAAGATGACACGAAGTCTTTAGAGTTGCTGCTTTGAAACAAGCCTAAATACAACATCAAGCTGGCAATTAAATGTTTATAGCAGGCCAAGAGAGTTTTACGAACGAATATTTAAAGGCAGCTACAGGTAGCTCACGACCATATATATTGATTAAATAATTGAAAATTAGAAGCTAGACAAAAAAATGAGGAAAAATTACCATATTTGCGAATGAACCCATCATTTCCATTTCTCCATTTCTGCTCTATAAAATATGATTGGAAAAAAGTGTTTTTTTAATGTAAAAACCTAATATGTGTCAAATTTTTTAATGAGTGCGTACCTATAACTATCTGGTTTCATCTGATTTCTCACCCCACCAAGAATGTTGACCGTAGCTTTACTTACAGCAATAACAGGTCTTAATACTGTGGTTGGTGCCTGTCGAAGAAGACCTCGCACAGTTGAGTAACCGCTAGATTTATCTTCTATCGCGGCTAATTGAAAGTCAAGAGCTGTCTCGTTAATCTCCTAAAGTTCTTGATTACAAGAATTCAACTAACAGAAAGGAACTTGATGATACCTGTCTGATAGCCTCCAAAGCCATATTAAAGCCCTCTCTAATATCATTTGGTCGTCGTGTAGCAGAATCCAATAGGTGCCTTCTATGCCGATATATAGGATATTCCGGTGAGACAATATCAAATGCTAGTTCTGCAACGCTCTGAAAAGCATAAAAATCCGAAATAAATAATGTATCTCTCACAAAGATACAATTAGTCTTACCTGCACAACACCAACCATTTTTTGCAGCATATCAACTGCAACTGTAGCAGTTGATATGCCAAAACTCTCCGCACCTCTCTGTAATCCTTTGACTACATGACCTTCCTCTCTACAGTATTCATTTACGGGCATCAAAAACAGATCTCGGATTCCAGAACCTGAAATATCAGACTTTGAAAAAGGAGATCTCATAATAAGTATTTTATTCAAGAAAATTAAGCGGAAAAAAATTTTGAGAAAATAGTCTACTAGAGGGATGCTACACTTAATGCATAAGAAACATCATTTGCTCACCAACTTCTACTAGCGACTTGATTGGTCCATAAGATGTAATGAATTGCACTAATTGCTTATTGTTGATATCGTTCAACCATGCATTGAAAGCAAACTGAAAGTTTCAAAATATCAGCTGCGTACATTGGCTAGCACAACAAATTTATCTGTATGTACACTGTTCTTTATATACTAAATTTAAGCTTTAAATAACATCAAAACTCACTTACTTTGAAGCATTTATCATACCCAAGCAAACCTCGGGTGCAGTTGAGTTCCTTCAAACGTATTTCGGTACACTTAAAATCACTTAAACCCACTAAAAGCCCTAAGAACCAACCCTGATCTGGACGTATACGCTTCCCATTCATATCCAAACAAATGACTGCAGATGGCGAAAAAATGAATTCTCTAAAATATGTGATATAGATGAACTTGAACAAAGTTTTATATACACTATCTTTCAGTGAAAAGAAAAAAAAATTCGTAGACTGCAGTTTGAAATTTCGTTTCTGCAAAGAAAAAAATTAAACCCTCTTACTTGAAGAAAATTTCTGTCCCACCGATTGACTCTAATGCGATATTTTCATCTTTATATTCAACCTGAAACAATGGGTTTGACTAAAAATAAAAAATGAAATTGTATTCACGCGGTAATGAAGCGCACTGCAAAAAAGCACTAGGAAGAAGAAATATCAGGATATAAAAACCCATTGCTTTTGGGATAGTAAATTTCAGAGTCAAAAATAATACGCTGCAGCAACCAAGACTACGTGTTTAAGCAAGTGGTATGCACCGATAACGGGATATGGTTTTCCATATTTTCGTTTTCCCGATGGACATCTTCAAAAATAACTGCCTCCGACTTTGAAGATAAACCAGTTTGATCACTGCTGTTGTTGACCTTATCCGCAACAACGTTTTGATCCAAGTGACTAATTGATGAATCAAGAAAGCAAAACGGATCCACGAAGTCTGAGATGTCATCAGTGGAACCTGAAACGAAGGGTAAGTTCCTAAAAAACTAAAATAGAAATTAAAAATCAATGTTAATCACCGCCTTGATTAGAAGTTTTGGGAGCCAGAGCTGGCCATTTACTGACCATCAAGTTCTCATCGCTGTCTTCTTCCAAATGGATATCATCATCTGAAAACTATGATTTTGGACTAGTTATTGACAGAAAAATCATATAGATAATTAAGAGACAAGTAATTAATGTACTCACCACTATCTGAATGCAGCATATCATTACTGCTTGTTTTGAACCCATGATGAGTGCGATCTTTCAAAAATAAATCAGTTACTGCAGCCGCATTCAAAGAATCTGCAGTATTATGATGCACATCCTTTTCCCAGCGAACAGCATCAGTGTTATTAAGAGAAGGAACTTCTAATCGCGGATTTTCAGGAATTTTCGAAGTTGAAACACTTTCTAAATGTAAAAAGTAACAGCGAATAGCAGTAGCAAAAATTACAAATTCTATCCTGTACGATTGTGGAGATCGAAAACATACCCGCTTTCAATAGAGCAATTCCACTAGAAAGATCATTTATAAAGTCTTCAAGAAACTCCATGGTATCTTGATCGGCATTAATACGTAATGGCAATAAAGATACTTTCATTTTACCCTCATGTTGATGTGTTTCATACACACGTACTGAAAACACTGGCGACTGTGAATGACGGGGGAAAGTCCGATCCCAAACATGCTGAATATGGACATAATGTTTCATTTCCGTCAATCACAAGAATTTTTATACTCCATGAATGAAGCAGAAATTAATTTTTTATGCATTACGGTGATATATTATATAGATGGGCTCTTAATACTTTTAGGATTATTTCTTGCTAATATAAATGCTCAATCTTCTTGCTTTATCTTACCGGATAAAGAAGTTTGTTTATTTTAGAAGACACTAATTTATCCAATATTTCAGCTGAACCGATACTGAACATTCTCGTAGATAATACGGGTGCCCGCTTATCGTATATTTCGAACATAAACCTCACCTTTCAAAATAAATTGTTATACAATTGTGAACAATAAATTAAAAATGCCCCAAGAAACTTAGCACCAAATGGCAACTACAGATTAGTAAAAAATTACTTTAGATAAACGCAGTTCAACATGAACGGAATAATCTCTATAGCGACCCCCAGCAGGGAAATTCTCACGACGTAATTTCCCTCCACTTGATGATGCAGAGTATGGTTTGAATGGTGGTTTTGACGTTTCTAAAATGCAAAATTTCTAATGATTTGTAGCCTGCTTTTTAAAGAACAAAGAAACAGCCAATTTTCAATAATAATGATTTTCACAGATTATTACATAAACTTACTGAAATCAGCACCACCATATAAATGAAGTTCTAATGATAGGTCATCAATACAATATTTAAACAACGGAATATAATTCTTTGAAGTAGTTGAAAGAACTGATCGTTCATCAATTTTCTTCAAATAGTTATCATGTATTATAGGAGGTGAGCCCCCTCTGAACAACACACGTGCCTTAGGTCTGCCACTTCCTGCCTAAAATCTTGTATTGTTTAAAAAATAACTCGAATATTACCTACAAAAGATTAAAAGTATGTGCAAGGAAGCGAGTGAAAATAATGAGAATAGATACCATGATTCCGTTACCAGGGATTTCTTCCAGTAAACAAAAACCTTCATCAATTCCAGACATCCCACAGGTGTCCTTGTCTTTGCGCCTCCCAGTAGTTTCATTGGAATCTGCCGTACAAGTGTTAACTATCTATCAACATTTTATCAGTACATGAAAAAAATAAAAAATATCTCAGCAAAAAATTAATTAAATGAAATTAATCCATTTGAAACGAGCGAGGACTTTTAGAATGTTGTAATTAACACTTACTTAACGACGTGCTCGATAATTTGTAACTATCCGAAGAAATTTCTGATGAAAATGGGCTCTCTATCCGAGACTCAACAATATCATCCTCTGGGAGCTCAAGCATTGCTGACTGCACCATTTTCTAGATTTAATAATATATTTAAATGAACAAGAATGACCAAAAGATGAATATACTGCAGGAACGACTTATGACTTACAACCAAAACACTTATTAATGGAAAATATGCCTATGTCTTGTTTTTTATAAATGACTATTTCATTTAAACTTAAATAACTGAAAAAGAAAATCAAATAACAGTTATTTGAAATGAAAAGTAATAACAATATATGGAGCTGCTGTAAAATAATGCTCGTCATTTATTGGTTTGTCGAATAAAGAATATGGAAATTCACGAAATATATTCTCAATAAAACATTTTCAAAAATAATGTCTGTTCTTTACTTGAACAAAAAAGGTGAATACGGAACGATGCTAAAACATATGTGATCTTTTTCCACATCTTAATGATTTGAAATGTAGCTCAAAATAAGCAATTCATAAAACTTACCTCTATATTGGCCATTTGTTGCTCAGTAGGTGACCATTTTTCTGAATCATTCCAAACCGCTTTGCTAGTAGTAGCAGAATAATCCTCATGTCTTACTGTATGAGATGAGTGTGCATCAAGCAGCTCAGATATCGCATTAACAATGGTGCACAGAGAATCAGAACAAGCCCATAACTGTAACACAGCAAACTTGGTCTAGACACAACAAATATAAATAAATAAACTAATTTATATACTACAGAATACGACAGTTGACAATAATCGAATTTCAATTACTTTTAACAGATCGTTTTTGCATTTGATTTCCAAAAATGGAGAGCTTCTCTTTAATTTATCATCATCAAATCGCAGATTTTTAACAGCTATGACCTGCAAGCAGTATATATCTCTAAAATGAAAACTACTGTAAACATGGTTTCCTTATTCACAGAAAAAGCAACTAATACGTAGCATATAACAAAGCTACACATTTAAACGAGATTCTTAAATGATCAAATATAATTAAGCGCTATTTCTGCATAATGAATCAAGAAAAGATAGAAATTTCTAAGAAGATTTTGAAAATTCCAAAACATATGAAGCTGGCCGAAAACAAACCTCTAATTTTAACATACCAACAGACAATATATGTAAAAATTTCAGTCCAAATTTGGGACACTTTTTACGATCATCCGAACTTTTCTTTGTTTCAACACTAGGGTTGAATGAAGCAAAGAGCTTCAATTGTTCAAAAATACATCCAAACTTGTATATTTCTAGATCCTGCATAATTCGGCTATTGATGTCACATGAACTGAGTACTACACTGAAAATTTTATCATGAAAATTTGAGTACCTTTTAAACTCAATAATATTTTTCGAGATCATTGCATAGATACAAACACGACAAGCCAAACTTACCGCAGTGATAAAGGATGAAGCTGATTTGAAAAGTAATGTTCGTAAACCAACAGTGAAGACGAAAAATGTACATGCAATTCCGTTGCTGCTTGTGGAATCTTACAATCAAGAATTCCATAGTCAGGAATGTTAAAGAAACGAATAACCTGATTGATCCAAAATTGCTCAACACTTTCCCAAGGTTGTAAATGTAACATCGTATTGCGAATACCAACTCCAACAAGCATATTCTGAAAAATGATTTTCATTTGTTTGATAGCTCTTTTCTATAAAGAAACAGTTTATACATTTTCAGAGAACTGAAAATAATTCTTAAGACAGCAGTAGTAATGCCACAAACTTCTGTAAATACAAAAACCTTTATATTTTCAGGAAAATTATAGTCAATTCGAACTGCAATAGCAAAATTGTCTTCTTCCTTTTCTAAAAGACAAATTTCTTCATCAGTTATCGGCTCTGCTTGTATCCCTTCCTCGCAATGCTGAGCGAAATCCTTTTTCAAAACGCATCGCTCATACGGCAAGATATTCCCAATAAGATCTGAAAGTGGAGTGCAATGGCAGAATATATGACATCTGAAATTGTTTAGGTATGTTTACTACCATGACAGAAAGCTTAAAAAACATACTTTTGTGAAAAACATTAGCAACTTTCGAAGTGGAATAAAAATAAGATAGTTCTTTGTTTCCATGAAAACCATTAACCAACATCATTTGCGTTTTGTGTAAAATTGTCCCAACCTGACCTACTTCTTTTTTAGCTGCATCCTAGAATCCAAAAAATTGAAATCACTTTTTTTTAGCAGATAAAACTAAAAAATTAAGCGAGCAGCGAAATTCAATCTTGATAATGAAAACTAACTTCAAATTCTGTCCCAATCAAGAGACGTCCATCTTCTATATTGGCAATCAAACAGAAGTCATGAGATTTTTCGCTGCTCCATGCATTTACTGTTGGTGTTGAACGATGAGAATACGAAACATTAGTCTCGCTACTCACAGAATCTATAATAACAAAACACAATAACAACAAAACGATGACACCATCATTCTAAAACCACGAACATGATATACGAAAATTGTACAAACTTATAAGAGGATTACAATAAAAATAAAACTTTTTCTTCTCGTTGATCTGCAGAGATGGAAGAGATCATCAATTGATGCCTCAAAATCTCTTGGTCGGTCACTATTAAAAGCAGGAGAGGAGGGTTTCCACATCGCCAAATCATTCATCAATCTGTTATGTCAAAACAATTTATTCTTTTCAAACATCAGTTTTTGTAGAGATCATAAGTCGCGTTTAATCATCTACCGTTTAACTCAGATGACTAAATAAAATTAAAAATAAAGAAGTATTAAATCTCAGGACAAACCTATTATATATAATTTCATAGCAGTGGCGGCTAGGTAAATGAATACGTATTACTGGAATATTCAGTTCACAGTTTACTTTTGCATTCGACTGACAAGCCTCACCAAATTCAAGCATCTCCTTTGTACTTCCAACTACAACTATCTGAAATATCAATTCTGAAAAATTATAAAAATTTTAAACAGCGATTAATTAAGAAACTAACCACTTGACTCTCATTCCGTATAATACATTTGGAGAAAGGCCCTTCTAACTTGGTATCTGTTTCGTTTTCTGAATCATACTGAGAACTGTAGAAGTATTCTCCCTCATTACAAGGCACAGATGTTGTTTCCAAACTAATATCTCTTCTGTCGTAGCTAATTTTCAAACTGAAACACTGAGAGCAAAATTTTTGCAAAAGTTGAGTTAGTTTCTCCAAAACAGTAAGCGTATATGTGATTGTAAAAAGGTTAATCGAATTAAATAAAAAATGATTTCCATGTACCTGACACAGTCGCTGCCATCCGTTTCCATACAACCTCCATAAAGAAAAAGAAGGTCAAGATCTGGTGACTCAGACTGCTTGCCAAAACTAAATGAACCTGAAATACAAAAACTGACACATTTGATAAATACTAGCAAAAAAAACGGAAGGTTTACAGAAGCTGTGGAGATGTTTGATACCGACAACAAATTCGTTAAACTAAATAAACTACAGTAGAGAATTTCTTCAATTTATCAAAAGCTAATTCCAAACTAACGCTCTAATTTTAAACTAATAAGACTGTTTTTCGAAAAAAAAAAACCTTCATACCATGAAATGAAGTAGCAGAAAGAGTGAATGCCCCACACTGCCCAAAACGAGATATATCAAATGATGGTATTTCTAGCCTAGTACACAATAAAGTTAACCACAGTGATTCCTTATGTAAATGTCTCTTCCAATGAAATGCCTTAGAATTCGTATCGTGTAGACCAGCAACTGGTATTCTTAAAAGCAACAGTATAATAAATGTTAATAGACTAAGTATTAAAAAAACACCAATTAATTTAGTCACTGATTATTTTTGTGATTCCTCATACGAGAATAAGACCTTAAATGAATGCTCCATTCTGGACAATTTAAAATCAAAATTGTTGTTGATGAAGATGTACTGCTTGTATCTTTCATAGCCGTGAAAAGAAAATCGGTTCTGAAATACAATGAGGGAAAAAAGTATTTTTTTAAAAGAATCAAATATAGCGAAAAAATTAGAAATTATTTCATAAATAAAACGAAAAAAGATACAAAGTAACAATTTTTAAAAAACCAAACTAAATTACTTCAAACCACGAGAAACGTCATCAATATTGCGAATCAGCGTTGGAAAAGGATAAGTGTGAAAAGGCCTTATGAATAGAAGAGATGGTAATCGATCAATGATTGATATGTCCAATTCACTTTCACATGAAGCCAGATTCACTGTGATAATACAGTGCTGAAATGGTATCATGCTAATGAGATTATCACGTGACCGAAATATTATAAAAACCGATTTTATGATTCAGTTCAGTAAACAGTAATAAGGTAAGAAGTTTTTGTTTGTTATGCGAACCTTTAAATTTATGTTACTTTCTACGTTTAACATCAGCCGACAGCTACCTGGAGTTGTCAATGCATTGTCGCAAAAAGAAAAAAGTTTGACATTTTCGACACAGTTCTAAAAAAATGTTTTTCACAATTTGATCTTTATTGTCATGCACGAAAATGAAAATATTTCAGATAAATAGAGAAAGTACTGTGCCAGAAGAGGCGGGAGACAAAATTTCGTACAGCTCCGCATTAACGGCTTCTAAATTCATGGACAGCGAATTATCTTCCAGACCTATCACATGATTGTAATCAAATGCTATGCCTTCTCCAATAAATCTTAAAAAACAAGAATTAAATTTGAAATAATGTTAAAAAGGCTAAATAATAATCCTAATAAGTAGAAAAATTCCAAAATAATCTGGAAATAAAGACTTGCAATAAATGATCATTTTCGTAGAGATATTTTGTACTTTGTCTCAACTCATTCAAATGGACTCTAAGCCTCAACGCAGAAGTTGTTTTGAAAAATCCTTCAGCCAGATCTTTGTAACAGTTGATGATATTGGTAATATTCTCCATGCCTCTGAAATCAATATGATATTGAACTTCGTTCAAGCCAAATCACGATAAATCTGTGCTTCAAAATTTAGAGGCGAAAATACAAAGAACAAAAAGTTACTGATGTAAAATGACAATTAAAAAAGCCGAACTTATCTTGAACTTCATACTGCCCAAGATAGTCTTTATGAGTTAGAACAATAACAACGTTGCAAATGCTCGCTTTAACACTAATGACGTCCGATAAAGAGTCCAAATTTTTCGAAGGTTCTGCAGTACATAACAACAAAGTTCCGAATTTTTATTTTCAGAGATTGCTACTAAAATTTTTGTCATGACTTCACTCTTAATTTAACGTAAAAACTGACTTGGAGGAAAGTAATTTCTGGATATCTCTTTCGAGAATTTAGAAGATGACCGATTAGCTATATCATTGAAATCGAGTGAAACATTCGTCATTTCCTCTTCAGCAGATGGTGCCGAAAGATTCCGCTGTGCATCATAAAACAGCATTGATCCTCCCCAATTGCCTGAAGACTTTTTGTTAATAAAACACAAGGAATGTGATTCAATCGTTACACTGGATTCCAGTGATTGATAATATTATGCGTATGTCCAAAAATTGGGGAGATATTATTTCAGAACTCAATCACTAAAAAGGCAGAATCAAATGTCGGCTATACATTAGTGTCAGTTCGATACAGTAACGATGGAGACATTTTTACTGCAAAATTATACCATGCTGGAAAGCAGTCCCAAAGCGATCTGCTTGATTAATTCTTGATTGCAATTCAGCTTCAACCTTCTGATAATCATGAATTGTCATAGGCTTTCCCAAATCATAGTGCATATCTAAAACAAAAATAGCTTCAAACTAAAAACTATTGAAAAGTAGTGCATATGAGTTTTATGATTTTGAAAGAGCATTATGTCTACTTTACTTCTTATTAAATATTCAGAAAAACCAAACCTAAATAAGCAACACTTGTCCTAAAGTGTTCACAACTGAAAGGTATCTTTTAATATGAAACTGATTAAAAAAGCTACGAGGCAAACAAACCAGAAATTACTGATGGTCTGAAAATAGTGGAGAAAAATGTTTCCAAGATTTTCAGTTGCGATGGAGTCAAAAACACACAGAGACCATCAAAATTAAGGTTGATTTCCTGCAAACATGAACCTGAATCAAATTTTCAATTTCATAATAAATAATTGTGCTAAACTTTTTTTTATACGACTCTACCTTTTCGGATAATACTGTGCTCTGCGATGAAATCGCATTGTTACGCATTCGAACAACAACCGTTTCAATGCTACTGCTGAACGACGCACACAGAACTGGATTTGACTCTAACCTAAGCAATGAATTTTTTAAATCATATAAGCGCGAAAATCTTTGAAAGTTAAAAACCATACGTATCATTATAGGATGATTTTGATTGAGAAATATGGGAATCAAAATTGTCGCCCACAGAGCTATTATGTGAATAACAGGATTCAAAAATTGATGATACTGGCATATGCACAGAAGAAAGAACATCATTCTTCTCACTTTGTTCATGCGTTCCGTTTAATGATGCTGATAGTTTCTGCAAGAATTAGATTAGTTTAATACGTCAACCATTAGACAGATGTTGAGCGTGAATTTCACACCGTGTCAAAAAGAAATTGATTTCACTAACCCTTAACGTTTTCTCTTTCTCACGCCGTAAATACATACTTGTAATGATCGGTGCTACTGAAGACGACATATTTTCTTCTTCTTTCATTTCCGGCCTAAAAACACAAAACTATGCATGTAAAATAGCCTTCACTGTTGACGAATGCAAAAAACACGTATTTTCTAACTTGTTAAAAATATCGGTGTATAAACGTATTCCTCTGACATGAAAAAGTTTATTAAAATTTGGAAGAGACGACAGCGAACGTGGCTGAGAAGTTATAGCCTCAGAGTTTAAAATTTCTGATTCTAGTTGCTCATCTACAAGTTCGACCCTGCAAGTTGCAATACTGATTTCTGTATTATTAAGACATTTATCTTAGGAAAACTGAAAATGAAATTTTAATGTTAATTACTTTCTTTTATTTTGAGAAAATATAAATCCATAAAAAAATGATACCAGTCAACTCGGAGTTCTAGAGCTGTGCATAGTCCAGATTCTTGATTTGAAAGACTTTCTAAACGAATAGTTGCATCCTCAAAAATTAACCGGAAACGCGAGATAACAGCATCAATAACCTATAATTTTTGGACGATTGTAAAATACAAAAGAGAACTGTGGAATCAAGTTTGAAAAAATGTTCCACCTCTGCAAATTGCTCGACACCCTTATCTTCTACTTCATTTCTAAAATCTTCCTGATTCAAAAAACTTTGCGCCAATTCCATAGATGTTGCTAGTGACCCAATAACACTTCCAAACATTGAAGTCACTAAAAAACTTTAGATCCCAATAAAACTACTCCATGCTATAAATGTGCCAAATTTTTCCTTCTTTATCATGTGGATGTCAACAAAATATAGCTCTGACCTACGTCACCTAATGGTTCATTTCCGAACTGTTGAAGCTGGAGGGTGAGCTGCAGTTGCTTCACTTCTAAATCAACAGATTTGACAAGTATTTGTTGCCAAGGAACTGTGATATTTATTTTGCCAATGTAACCTTCGACAGCCACAAATGGAATTTTCAACATTTCTAATGCTTCATTTATTCTCTGTAAAAATGATTCAACAAATTTTATCAATAAACTTTGAAGCACTCAGCAGTTGATGTGCATGAAAACCAAAACAGTTGATAATTTTCAAACCTTTTTATTTTGATGCCTGAAAGGGTAATAAGTACTTGCGAAATTCAAAATGAAATATATACTATTCAGAACTTCACACTATATACTATTTCAAAATCATGACTCCAAAAAAGGGTACCTGCACATCTATATCAACATCGCTTACTGAAGCAATGCCACCGTATAGAGTGGTTGATAACTGTTCTAAATTGATACTGGACTTGAGAAAGTCGCTCAAGTATCTATGTATAAGAAATCGACATAGACGCTTTTGCAAAGCATCTGTGATGTTTGACAAACTCCAACCAACCATTCCGTCCAAGCCTGAAAGATAAAGATCATATAGATTTATCCATAATATGACAAGGAACTCGACTAACCTATAAAAACTATCAAGAAAAAAAACCTGTTCAACTACATTATTCATCAATGTTCGAAAATTATCAAATATGACAAATACCTATGTAAATTTCACTTCCTATGAAAGATACAATGTAGGGAACTTTGTAAGCAGTATTTGAGCATCCCTTGTAGTTAGTAAGCAACCAATTTTGATTATCTAATGAATAAGCAATATCTTTAGACTACAATTTGCAATTTAAAATGATACCACGCTAATTACAGTCTAAAAAAAAGAAAGAAAAACCCTTATTGTCTTCAAGAACTGAACATTTAATATTCAAAACAATGCATTTTATGTATTAATGTGATTCATAACATCAAGTGACACATCGTTACGATTGAGACCAACTATCATTGTTTTTGGCTCGTTATGAAGAACAACAATTTTTGAAAGAAAATCTTGCAAAAGTAAATCTGTGCATGCTTTTGGAATTGTCTGTAACATTTATTTCGGTAGTGTAGTGCACATGACTGATGAAGATTCAGATATAATTTCGTCCTAACATAAATGAAATGAAGTAGAATCCTCATGAAGAAATATAAATGAAATATTAAAATGCAGTACATGCATTCTTATATACTTTCACAAAGATATTACATGAGAGAACAATACGTATGTATGATGGCAATAAGTAAGTAAGAAGACCACAAGAACGAGAAATGAAACATTTAAACTCTCTAATGAGAAGTAAACAGCAATGGACATGCATACTTGCTAATGCCTTACGTGAAGTATCAATTGCATCAATTTCAAGGAAAATGCATCAAACGTATACACATTTTGAACATCTACAAAGTGTTTTGCGGTTGACCGTTCTGCGATAACAGTAAGAGATGAAGAAAGGATGCAGTTTGATGATATTGGGGATTTGTAGCGTAACGAGGAGAGAAGATGGCTTAGGTATTTGTCGCTTCATGGCTTTTTTTCCACTTTACATTTGCTAAAATTAAAGAATTGACTTCTAAAGCTTTTTTATTGTTTATGCTTTAACTTGAATGATTTTATGTCAGATTAGAGTACATACAATTGCATTAAAGTGGAAGAAATTAGAAGAGGAAGATAAAAATATTAACGCTTCTAACTTTTTATGTACTACTATAAATGAGAGTTAATCTTAAGAAAAATCTAAAAGGTTACTACTGAGTAGGAAATATTGAGTGATTTCTATTTGTGTTTTCCATATTGACGTGAAAATGACTGCAATTAATCCGTATTTCTTAATCCTTTTTTAATTTTAATGTCTTGTGTTTACTTATTTCAAAGTGAGCAGTTAGCGGTTACAATGCATTCCAAATAAAGTTAACTATTCAAATGGTTGTGGTATTCATTTTGTCAATTTTATCTTCCAAATTCACCGTAAATTGATGTATATGATAGACTTGTATTACAATATATTTGTTTAGACACGATAATGTGCGTTTAATTCAGATTTTCAGAAGTAGTCTTGACGAATCCTGTTTTGGTATAAAAGATATGGATCATAAAAGTTGCTTGAATGAAAAGCTTTCAGTTCGACGATCAGCTGTAATTGAATTATTAACTAAGGTAATAAAAATTTACGTCATATTTTTTCTGTGATGTGAAGTTTTCGAGAACAAATAGAGGAATACTGTATATAGAGGAATTACTTTATCATTTTTAGCTGAATTATTCTTTTGAGAGATTTTATTTAGTATTTCCAGAAATTTAATTTCAGTTAGCTGATGATAACCGAGAGTTTTTTAAAAATAATGCAAGTTGGACGACATACGCAAGTCGATTGGAAAAAAGTTGTCGCACACTATCACTTCTTACTCCTACCTTAGAAGGTTTGTTTTTCTTCCACAAAAATACATTTGGAAAGAAGATTGTATTTGGCTAACTTGATTTAAATTATATGTGTAATTTTTTTTCCTTCTTAAATTCAGTTTTTAGCGATTTTAGCTGACTGACAACTTTATATTTCATCATTTACTTCATTACTTGGTTTATTATCGCTTTAATAAATCAGTGTTTCAATTTATCAGAAATGGTTCAAAAATTGCAAAATATGGCACCTCGATGCGACTATGATAAGTCCACTCCTGGGAATGGATTTCGGTTTGTCTTATTGAACTTACTGTTTAAAATATTCACAGGATCTTGTGTTTTTCTGCAGTTTTTGACTTTTTGCATAACACATGCTTATACACAACATTATAGATCATTGGTGTGTATATATGACACTATTGTATTGCATCTTGTATCTGTTTTACGTTCTTGTTCTGTACATCGACAAACGATGATGTTCCGTACATCGTATTATTGTAAAGAAATAGAAAGTTATTGTGCTGTCTTAAATTTTCTCATTACATCTTTACAATTGGTTTGTTTCATTTTCGTATTTCTGCATAGTAAATTCGTATACTTATTTGCATAGAAAATTCAACTTTATATTTTTTTGAGTTTAGGTAATTGATGATGCTGTACTCGTCTCTGACAATTGTTTGTTTCCTGATCTTAGTGGGGATTATTCTAAGTATGTAGAAATTCTAGGAAGCATAAATATGCTTGATTCCTCTTGCTTTTTTGGACGATCGCTAGGGTTTCAAGTGAGTGAAGAAATTATTTGAAATCGAGTGTTCAAATTTTAGAATAAAAATGTACCATCTTTTTATAACAAACAGAAAATTAGATTCTTACTACTACTTTAGCTTTTTTTAACAGTTTCCGCCATCAGTCGGACGCATATTTCGCTTTATTGGTGTTCTACTTGCCATATATAGTTTATCATGGGAAAAGGGACGCAGTACTCTTGGATCTTTTTTATATTCACCTCGTTTCTTGTTGAATCCTGAGCAAAGAGCTGAACGCATTGTGAAGGTTTTTCTTATGCAGATATTATTTTCTACATCGTAATATGCTTTGCTTGCTTCGTTATAGAATTGATTTTTCTGCTCGAAAACGAAATTCTCTTTTAGGTCACACATGAAGCCGACATAGAATTTTGTAGAGGTTTTTGGAATTTATCGGAATTCGGAAGTGTACGTTAGTTCTCTACTTTTTGAAAAGATTAACTGGATCTATCACTTATCATTTGGTATTTTTACTGATTTTGTTGATATTTCTTTGAAAAAAAAAGTGATTTGCAGCATGTTCCACGTATATTTTGTCCAAATATGGCCGTGAACGATTTACGTGAAATTAATTGTGGGGGTTCTATAACGCTGGCTTCCACAAACGGTGGTTTCGTGTACATTGCAGAACCGTCATCTTATACTGGCCCTCGACCAGTCAAGATCCGTGTTTTGTCATACTCCCATCGTGAAATACTTGTGTGTATCTTCAAATTTCATGCTCAATTTCTTCAGAATAAAGCTGTAAGTACTGTATTAATTTATGTAATTTCAGAGTCCTGCTGGATCACCGAATCAACTTTCGCCTTCTCCGTACTTATTATTTCATTGTCATGGGGGTGGTTACGTGGCAACGACCTCGAAATCTCATGAAGTAAATTATACACATTGATGCAGCTTTTTCAAACTAATTGTATTTGAATTAGCTCATGTCAGTGTCTTATAGACTTATCTGCGCGCATGGGCAAAATCACTTAATTGTTCCATCGTATCTGTTGAGTATTCATTAGCACCCGAAAATCCATTTCCACGGCCTACGGAAGAAGTATTGTTTGCATATGCATATATTATCAGTAATGCAGCAGAATTCGGTTTGTATTTTATAATACAATTTAAAATGAGTATAATTTGTTTCCCTTTCCCAACAATCACGTCAACAACATGACATATGTTGCAGGATGGACTGGCGAGAAAATATGTTTGATTGGCGATTCAGCTGGTGGTAACTTAGTGATGTCTGTTACCTTGCAACTTATTCAGCTTGGTGTGGAAAGATTGCCAGATGGAATTGTCACCGTTTATTCTCCATTTCTTCTCCAGGTCTCTCACTGATTTTTTTTTAACTTTCTGGAAATCTGAAGAGTCGTTATTAAATTCTTTTATCATTTTAAAATTTGGTTCTAAGAAATGTCTCCTTCAGTATCTTCTGTCACCTTCACGACTGCTTAGTTGTATGGATCCTCTTCTACATATGGGTGTTATGTTGCGTTGTATTGCAGGTATTTTTGCTTCCATTAGTTATTGTTATGGAAAGGATTTCATCATTATTATTGATCAGTTTTATTATTATTTACTTCATATATTCTCTAATCAGCATACACTGGAAAACCGGTAAATATAAGCTCAAGTGGTGGAAATTCTGGACAAAAGAATATTGATAAAGGTGGTCACAAAAGCTTGCAGGAATATGTGGAAGAAGTACAAAAAGTACAAAAAGGCGAAGCGGTTTGTATGGATGTAATTTACTTCATTCAGATTAGTTCCATATTTTTTTATTTGCTATGTATCTGTATTACAGAATGAAATAACATCATTTACAGGGCTCTTCATCAATTCTATCGCTGGTGAACTTGACAGATATATCATCTATGACAGAAGTGCATAATGTATCAAAAGCTTTGAAAATTAAAAAGGAAAAAGTGTTTAGAGGCACTGACGATGGTAAAAAGGATGGATATCAAAGTGGTTGTCTTTCTGGGGTTAAGGTGCTTTGTTTTTTCATTTTTTAAGTAAATAAATATTTCAAGTCTTGTTGTTTATTTGTTGATGAAAAAAGATACTAATGATTTGAGTGCTCAAGAACCGTCAAATTTGAAGAGTTCGAGTAAGCGAAAGAATAATACAGAAATCTTAGTATATTTTATCGTTAAATATTTGAAAAACTGTCTCATTGTGTTATATTACTTCATTCTCATTACTGTTAGATAGGATTCGCAATTCTTCATCAGATGCTCGAGCATTTCAAGTGATGAAAAAAAAAGATGTCTATTCTATAACTTCAGTAATTTTTGTCATACGATTCTCTGTTTTTGGCTAATTTTATTACGTTTATGCCTTTATTATTTCTAGATCAAAGCAGATCCCTTACATATTCATCTTTCATCAAGCATGTACGATCAACGGCTGGTAGATTATCTGCAAAGTCATCCGCTTACGAAAGAGTATGTAAATTCGTGAAATTCGAGATGTTATATTTTCGGTCACCAAATAAATGTAGAAAGTCTACTACAATGTGATGTGAGTGAAGTTGCATGAAAAATAAGTTTTCCCTAATTTCCATTCAAAGAAACAATTACTTCATCATTTTAGTCGCTTTCTAAACTCTTCATGTAAATTATTATTCATATAGCAGTGTGATTCTTATGGATCGAACTGATTGCACGGTGCCTGAAAATAACAAAGATCCCAAATCTCTGAGTACTGAAAAAAATAGGCAAACTTCTCGAGGATTAAAGTTTACCTCTTTGTTGCGATCACCTCTAACAACAGATTTCAAAGAACTACCTCCAGAACCTTCTTCACCAATTAGAAATTGCATGTGTTCAGGATTGATGGTGTCTTCATTGAGTTCTCCGAGTATCAAATGCAAAAATGAACTTCCAGTATGTTTCTAAAAGTTTCACTTTTCTTACCTATTACATTGATTTTATTAAGTGGTTAATTTTAAAGCTTTGCTTCCTCAAAAATATTATTTAAAATGATAGTGGTGCTCTAAAACTTTCAGACTCATAAGCGGACCATCAGTCAAAACTTTGCTAATACTGCTGCTATGGCAGCTGGTCATGCATTAGATAACATTTCTGATTGGATTGAAAAATCTGCGCCAAAAAACCTACCAAATAAGCCTAAACTTGGTCGTGCCTTTTCTTTGTCACCTGATTCAGGAACAAAAATAAAGAAGATAAGTGTATTGAAAATATGTAGACTAAAGTTTAGATTATTTAATTTTATTTTCGTTTAAAATATATGTTTTTGAATGTATGGAAAAATTATTTTAAGAAACGAAAAAGGGAATTGCGGAATCACATTTTGCGGATATAATTAAAAACAAAATTCCGAGAGATCCACTAATATCTCCTTTGTATGCATCACCAAAAGATCTTGCGCGATTGCCACCAGTTTGGTTTATAGTAAGTCTTCTCTTCACGTTTGTGGTTTCGGGATTTTAGATCACATTCTCATACCATTTATTTATATAGGCATGTCATCTTGATCCTCTACTAGACGATACCATCACGTTTGCCAAGAAAGTACGAGATTCTGGTGGCCGAGTAATGGCTGTTGATCTTCTGGATAACCTCCCTCATGGTTTTCTTAATTTTACACTGGTTTCACCTGAATGTCGTGAGGGTTCCAAAGTTTGCTTGAAACGAGTCAAGGAAGCATTTGGTATGAGTAGAAAAAATTCTGCACCACTGAATTAGGATGTGTTTCTTTAATAAAATTCTGGTATGTCCAGTGTCTCTGTAAGTATTGCAACTTTTATTGATTTTGAACGAAAATGACATCTAGAGTATTCCATAATTTTGCATTTTGTTATCGCTCCTGTGAAATTTTTTTTTGTCACTAATATCTCCTGTAGTTTACATCTATTTGAACGATTATTTATAATAAAATGTTAAATTGTTGATATATTTGAGTAAGAAATTTTAATTTAAAGGATATTTTGATCTATTTCTGCATTTTTTTATTTTAAGTACAAATTTCTCCATTTTTCATGAATATTTAACTTATTTTGTTGTATGAATTTTGTTTACCTTGTTATTTTATACAGATTTATATATTTTCGTGAATTGCACATTTAACAAAATTTTGTTTCCATCCTAGCTATATAATTCGCTTGCTTATATGATTTCATTTTTACACTGGTTTCAAATAAATAAATGAAATCATTTATTTTTTTCAAAATCCAGTTTCCTGTATAATATTGAAGTCTTTCTTTGGCAACGCTTTCATGCTCATTCTTAAGTCCCTTGTGCTTGTAATGTTTTCATTTTAAATAAATGGTTTGGTATCGTACGAAACAAAAGTTTGAAGCTGATTTACACGTAAATGTAAAATAAATTTTATTCAGTATAGTAACTTTAAGTGTGTGTTTTACTTCTTTTGATCACAAAATGTTTAAAATGTTTTGTTAATGAAGCTTACATATAAAGTTTTTGTAAGTGCGAGTGTTATGCATGGCAGTTTACAAATAATTGCAGTGACTTAATTAAATCTAAAGATAACTTTTGAGGATATAAGATTAGTTCTACACTTCAACTGTATGACTTACGAATGATGGAATGTGGCTGTAGATATTGCTTACGTAGTTTAGGTGGGGAGTTTTTTTTTGCCAGAATTTGCTATGAATGTTGCAGTCATTTGTTTCTGACTCTTCTTTATGTCTAAATTTGCTGAACTGTTGACAAATGATGATCTGAAAGACCATTCCTTAAGAAATAATTGAGTATTGTGACGCGCTTGGCACAGATAACAATGATATTCATGATTAAGAGCTTTCGTTCTTTTTAAGCTTCGTTCTCAACTACTTCATGTATCAAAAATAATCGTGGTTTACCTATAAAGCGTTTTATGAAGTCATCATCTTTTCTTCATAATCAAATTCGTTATAGTCCTAATCTTTTGAATCCATCATTAATAAACTCCTTGCAGTTGCTTGTCTGGATAATTTTTACTTTGCGGGGCGAGGTTAATAAGTAGATCTACATCGTGCATTAATATTTTCATTTAGTCAATCGAAAGATAAATTATAATCCGAATAGAAAAGCTTTTTTTTGTGGCAGTCAAGCTAAGTCCAAACTGAGGCATTTTACGGTTAGTGCAGTTTAGTTTATCTCAATAATTAAATTGCGCTTTTATTTGTAAATTTATAAATAAATAAAAAGTTATCTGCTGAGCAACTCATAACTACCTGATAAGTATATTTTGGCAATCTAAATATTATTCTTACATTTGCTAGCAGGGCCTAATGACTTTGACTTTGGGTGTGTCTGTCCATTTGTGTCAAGGAATTATGGAATAAAAGTGTTGCTATGGGAGCATATAAAGAGGAAGTACGGTAGTTGGGCATCATTCATTTTGAAGGAGACAGCCTTAAGTGCTTCAAGTTTGCTAGATTTTCAGCCATTAGATCAAAGGTGATGTTGACACTATCATCATAATACCATTTAGTCTTACTGTGATTATCTCGATAAGTGTGTTGTCAGTTTTCATTGAGAGTAGAAGATATAGATATTTCAATCATCCGTGTGTAGCTACAAGTTTATTTAATTTACTATCAGTGATGGACCATCCACGATTAGAGCCATTTACTGAACAACCTATGAAACAGAAACTAAATTCGTTTGGAGCAGCTCCAATAACCGCTCTTGGTTAGTTTCTTCTACTAAAGTATTCAATTTTATAAATTATTTCATTCATAGATTCACGTATTCCTTGTAATTACTTTATAATCGGATCAGATTACTTAATCTGATATCTGTATCCTTGTCTTAATACTTCATGATGTAATTGAACTTTTAATGATTAGAGCGTCGATCAAAACAGTGGAAAATTTTTTTGTATCTGTTATTAGTATCTTCCTATTCCACGAAGCCAAAGCACTTGCTTCCCTGTTGCCCATTTCCTGATCAGATATCGAAAACATTTGACATCATCACAACACTTTAAATTCAGCTACTGTTATATCCATGTTTTAATCTTCTCTTAGTGCTTCCTTTTAGTTCACAAAGTACTGTTCGAGTAATATATCCAATTCTTTGCCTATCTTCTGTTTCCACTTCTATTAATCATTCAAAAGTTTTTTTTTAAATGCTTTTTTAATTGTAATATTATCAAGTTGTAATAAAAAAATACGCGAATTTTTTACTTTAAAAGTATTTGAGAACTGAGTGTTATTAACACTGGTGTAGTAGTGTTAATGTTTTACTTTTATTTTTTTTTACCTTTTTTTTTCTTATTGTTAATGTTTTACTTTTTTCGTATATACAAGTGTGTCAAAAATTAATTTTGATCTATGTACCAAGAAAATGCTATTTAAAGTATAATAAATGATAGAAATAGTCTGTTTTCTGCGAAACTACAACAAAAATATTAATGACTTAACACTGCAACAAACCAATATTATTCTTCGATTCACTATATTCTTCCGTTATTTTTCTACTTCAAATTCATTCTCACTTGGTATCAATATCACTTTACTTAAGTTTTTGAGAGCTGTTAATTTTCTCTATTTTGTAAATCAAAATTTATACTTCCTCAACAAGAAAGAAGACTTTAAATCGAAAACTTCTTCCCATTATTCAGCTGGCTCAAATGATTTATCCTGAATTGAAACTGCATTCATTCTAGGTAAGGATTAAAACAGTTTTGGCACATACAACTGTTCTAACAAATTTGTTGCATAATTTATTAATCGAAGTGCGTTTATTTTTTTTTTTCACAAATTACAAGTTGCAGTAAGAAGTGTATACTTACCTGGTTTGAAACTTTTGTACTTAATAACAATTCTTCGTTAATTTATTGTCTAGGTAAATAAAATTTCTGCTTCAGTCAACAGTATCAGTAATTATAGCCAAGTATATGCAATAATTCAATTCATTCCATGTTAAATTTGATTCTTAGGCTAAATGAAACGAAGAAAAATTCTAATACTTACATTTTAATCTAATACTGCACTGTTTTTGTTGATTACTGTGCACAAATATGAATTACTCATTTACTGAAAAGAACCGAAGTGTGTTTACAAAGTCTAGAAGTTTTATGTTATTATTTGAGTACGTAATTTATACTTTTATCCCAAGATTATAAAATTATAAATGCACTCGAAGAATTTTGAAGGCTTTTGGGGTTAATTCAAATTAGCATTAGGTAAATTTAAACATTCACTTTTTTGTAATTTTTATTCTAAGCATATGTTCATTTATGACAATTTGATGAAAATAATAGCTGTAAGAATTTTTTTTTGTAATTTACTGAAGTACTATTTATAGTGCATTATATTTTAAAATATAATCTAGAGCAGTAAAAACTATGCTAATTGATTTACTAGCAATTTTAAAAGATATATTAATCTCGAAACGATCATTGATGGTTCAGTGATTATTGCACTTTGATATATTTTCAAAGTCTAACAAGCGCGATCACTTGAATTTTGATTCATCATTGATGTTTTACTGTGTATCTGTCAGTTATTGCAGATTGCAACAATGAAAATAAAAATAATAATGAATACTGAAGGTAAACAAAGCACTAATAAAGTTCAAAACTTTGAACAAATTTAACACTCAGTGACTACCGTAATCACACAATTATTAGCTGGAAGATAGCTCATGCTTGTGAGGAAAAAGAGATTAATAAGAATAATTGGCAATTGAATATGAGTGATTTAAAAGATTAAGTGAATTAAAAATCACTGTTAATTTTATTGCCTTTGCTTTGTCTAAATAGAACAAATTTTTAAATTACTCATCATTTCTATTCACTGTTACACTTTTTTGGTATTAATTTTTCCATTGCTGTAGCCTCTATTATTGATAAATTCACGAAATAAGATTAATAATTTCAGTTGTCTGTTCTTGACAGTTCATCTCTACATAACTCTTTTTTTCCAAATTTCTAAATGACAACTATTTTCTGCTGTATACCTTTTGAATATACTATTTAAAAAGCTTACTTTTATACTTTTGTAATAACTAGCTCGTTTTATCACTAATTAATGGATTAATCAAATTCAGATTATTATTAGCAACCACATTAGCATTTGTTACTGATTTTGATGCTTGTCATAATAAATTGAGAAAAATTAATTACATTACTCACTTCAGTCAAAACAAACTAAATTTTTGCTTCGTCATCTCTCTTGTTCATAATTTTAAGCAGTACATAAAGTTGCTGCTTTGAAAATTGTGTGAGGAATGGATAAATTTTACTGAGCGATATCCAGCTGTGTTCCCTTCTTACACATCAAAAGATTTGAAAGCAATAAAGGTAGCTGTAGCTAAGCTTCATCATAAAAGCTCACAGGAGGAAAGAGATTCTAATAAAGAGACATCGGTCTCGACCTGTTTAAAATGCTACTTTTATTGTTAGCTTTTCATTTCATGTCTTATAATAATGCATCCATTAGGGAAATAACACATTTGCCATGCTTATTAATATGTACCTATCAATTTTGATTTTTGCTGCTTTTATCGAACACTCTGTAAGATTTTGATGTATCAAATTTAAATGATTCTTGAAATAAAGTTCAATTTTGATAATCTTCCAAATTTTGTTGTAATTGCCAAAATTTTCTTTGCAGTAACTTGCAAGCTGGAAAATATTTCCTGAAATCACTTTTTTACCTCTGGTAAACCACCATAAAATATAATCGACAAGAAATCATTATGTATAAATTCATGTGTTATTTTGAAAACAGCTTTTAAAAATATCTAATAATTTCTGTCAAAACGGAATTAATAAATGAATAAAATTCTTTTTACAAATCTTAAAAGCAAAATGTTTTGAGAATTGTTCTCAGAATTTTTAAAGTTTTGTAATTAATTGAAACAGTTACTGTATTTCTAATTAAAATGATTTTCTAGATAATATATCATTTTTGCAAAAATATCCTTGAGCTTTTTGTACGGTACTTGATAGGATTTTAATAATTATTATTATTTTTTTTGCATCTCAGTAACTATAGGAAGTGGTCAAATACAGTTGTGGCAGTTTCTTCTCGAACTGCTTTCTGATACACACAGTAATGCACACTGTATCACCTGGGAAGGTCAAAATGGAGAATTCAAATTGCTAGATCCGGATGAAGTGGCTAGGAAATGGGGTGAACGGAAAAGGTTAGTTTTATAAAATGTAAATTTCGGTTGTTTTTCTCGCGTCTGATATCATAAATGGATGTCCCTACTGTTTTTAAGCCTTACGATGTCTTAATAACATATTTCTCCAGACAGGTAATTTTTTTTTCATCAAAACTGACAAACTCATTTGTTTCAGCAAACCAAATATGAATTATGACAAATTGAGCCGTGCTCTACGATATTACTACGATAAAAACATTATGACAAAGGTTTTAGCTCCAATTTTTTTCCATCTGAAATCGTTTCAAATAATTGAATTTTTTCTTTTTTTTATTTATCAACAGCAATTCATGTTTACGTCAAATCTAATTAGCATTACTCTACCTTTTTTACTTTTTTTGAAATATTGAATGACCCAAATTTACATTTCTTTTCAGATAATTCTGTGCTCTTAAAAATTATAAGTTCAAGTATGAGTTAATCAACTTATGTGAATTAATACCAGTTCTAAGTTTATTTCCAGTTATGGCCAAAATGAAACATTTAGGTTCATGGCAAACGCTATGCATACAGATTTGATTTTAATGGTTTAGCGCAAGCTTGCCAAAGTAATTCTAATGCTGAATACTTGCCAGCAGTTGCAACATCAGTGCAACATTACCGGCGTACGTATTTCACTATTTGTTGAGCATGAAGATTGTTTCCAGTTATTACATCACACTACTCCTTTCTACTCTCAACTCAAACAAAATTGTGCTTTTGAAGATTGAAAAAAATTGAATACTTTCAACAAAGAAGAAGTGTCACTTCATTGGCTTTTATCCATTAAAATGTTCAAATTCTGATTGAGAGAACACAAAATTCCCAAAGATCTCAAGTATTGTGCAGTCTTAAGATTTGCTAGGAAATATTCTATTCATACAGTTTCAAATAAAATGAACGCACCCTTTGAATTTAATAAACAAAGATCAAAGTTGAAGTAAATACTTTAACCTTCAATTTTGATAACAGAGTTTTTGAAAATAAAATACATTAATTATTTAAAAATGATGTTAGTAAATAATGAACCCAATTAAACCTTTCTTATTATGGAATGTTCCACAGAAAGCTGCTAAAATGTAGAATGACTACTGATTTTAGACTGATAATTTTAAAGGAACACCTAAATAATTTCTTGCTTCAACTTGTAATGAAATTTTAGACTTGAGTTAACTTTCAGATTCACTGACAAATTATGCTTCTCCTCAATTCTTCTTCCAACACTATCATCATACTATGCCGAAGATGTGTTCTACAGGTGCAACACAAACGCCTCTGATTCATCCAGTAGTCTCAGATAGTAGGCGAGTACCGGCAAATTTCATTAGACCAAATTGGCCTGGGACAATCTCGAGTAGTAGTTATGTCTATACATCACCGGGAATTTATTGTGGAACTCAGCCAAGGCCTTTCAGCCATTTCTTGTCATGAAATCCGTACATAAATCGAATAAAATTTTACTTTTATTGCTCATTTCATGAATTTTATTATGGAATCAGTCACCAAGCAATTGAATTATTTTGCATTTTACCCGTCTTTTAGAAGTTAAAAGTAATACTTAATTTTACGATTATGATCCGAATGACATAACACTGAAGCAAAATGGTTTCTGTGCATAAATGAATGTCAGAACAAAATTTGATTTACTTGAGTAAAGTTGCATAGATGAATTATTCACTAAGTTTTCTGTAGAGTGACCTCCTGCCTACTTTAAATTCAAACGCTTCCCAGCATAAATTATCTCACATAAACTAAAAAATTTGATTATCCAAATGAAATAAATGCCATTTGTTTATTGATTGATCTTAATGTGAGAGAGGAAATAAATAGGACTTTCTAGTGGTTTATTTTTATTCTCATGGATAAATTCATGGCTGATAAGACGGTACGAATTTTCTTGCGTGTTTGTTTACTTGTTCTCTTAATCAACTATTTTTTCCTATGATCAAATAATGGAATGGAAAGTTTTCAATTATTTTCTTCCAAAAGATTAGTCTTTAAAACCAACCGTCCATGAGGTTTGTGATTTTTTGATTTTTGTAGAATAAGGACTGCTGGATCGCGCAAGGTTGATTGAAAAAATGAATTTGAGCAATTATCTAAAAATAGATAATCTGTTCAAAGTAGTAAAGTGTAGTGTTAAAGACACTTTTTCTGACTCTGACTCTTTAAAAAGTTTGGAAGCAGCTGATATTGTTTTTACTAGTTTGCCGCACTCAACAAAAGGTTGTAAACAAACTGGTAGACAGACTGACGCAATCAAAGCAAATATTTTGGGCAGTTATTTTGAATGGAGATGTTGCTCTCAAGTTCAAATATGGAAGTATATAAATATATATAAACAAGTGTGTGTGTGTTTTTGATCTTTGGACTGCAGCAATTTAAGACAGACAAACTCTATTCATTTGTTGGGGAGCACGACCTGAATAGATCGACTAAACTAAAAACAACAACAATAGTAAGAATAAGCAAGAGCAGAGAAGAAGTTTGCCACCTTATGAATTTGCGTCGTATCTCAAAATGCCTAAGCAATTCTTGAAATTGGAGATCACTTGAATGTACTGTTGGAATATTTTACGTATTTATGAGATATTATGAAGAAAGTTAGTCAACTACAAATGCTAACAACATCAAAAAGATCTTTTGCAACTCTTGACTATATTTGACTACCTTGTTTCCCAGTCCGTTCAGTAAAAGTGATCATGGGTTTGTAATACATGCTTACTTAAACTTATCTCGTATGTATTCATGTATCGATGATAAGTGGACAAATCTTAGGCAGTAACTAAACTGTGATTGCAGCAGTTTTTCAATTGCCAATTTTTGACCGAGAAATTTTGATATTACAAAATCTGTCAGTCGGGAGAACAGGAAATGTGAGAAGAGAGTACTAAAGGCAATTTATTTCATGACAATGTGTAAACATTTTAAACATGATTTAGTAATTCAAAACAAATAGAAGAGTCATTGTAGATCGTGTTACCATGTGTGCTCTTTATTGCTGTAGTTACAAATGACCCAAAAAGTGTGCGGAGGAAATAGCTGAATTCTACAGAGCAAGTAGCTGAAAATGAATTCTGCAGAGGAAAGAGTCATAAATTTATATCGAACTTAGTGATGTGAAAAACTGTATAAATCTACACTACTTCCATTGAAGCCTATTAGAAGTACATAAGGATAACAATAGAAGTCAATCAGTGATACGAGGAACAAGACTGATCAGCAGGCATTTGCATTTCTTCACGATCTTATCTGGATGCGTATGAGTATGCATGGCCTACATATATGCGTAAAAGAGCCTTTTAATTCTTCAGTCACTATTCATGTTCATTACATGTACCGTCACATTCTACTTTTAAATATTTTTAGCTGTATTGAATAAGAACAGATAATAAATAGTTAGCCGCTATATACGAAGTGTGTACTGACACTTAATTGGTGTATGGATGCTTCTGCATGTCTTTCTGACAAGTTTCATTTGAAATAGGTGGAAATATGCCAGGAAGAAATATGTTGGAATTTTGCACAATCTGGCTTTCCTATGAAGACATCGAAGAACAAGCAGAGTTAAATCGTCTGTGCGAGAAAGCAGTTGATGTGTCGTCAATTAGGTTCTTTGGACAAGATATTTCTCGATATGTATCGGATCCCGGAAGGAACGAAAAATATGACGTGGTCGTTGCGAACAATCATGGAATTTGTTATGTAGTTATTGAAATTGTGTGTGAGTTGAGAAAATTTGGTGTGACAATTACAAAAAGAAGGGATAGACGAGTCAATCTGTGCTCTTATACATTTTGGAATACAACTACCAATTAAGTGATATATTTTTCAATTCACTTATAAAGTATACCTTTTACTAAGCATTTGCAAAAACGACTTGCACTTAAATTTTTGGTAGATTCTCTAGAAAGGAGCGTTGCCTAAATTGATGGTAACTGAATGAAGGAGATGATGATTTCTGATACGAGAGTAGTGAGTAGTGAAGCTAATGTACGACCGATATGAGTCGCTACAGTGCATCGACTGGTTAATATTTTTTCGCATTGTCCTTTCTGATGAATGCAAGAACAGGAGGGAACAGTGGTTTATTATTCGTGAGTAGTTTTTAATTTTATTCTTAGTGCTGTGAATTATTCATTTGAAAATGATATGGAAAGTCTGTCATTCCCTTGACACGCTAATATTTTGCATAGATAATTTTTTTAAGTTGAAGGATAAAATGAGTCGGTTAACTGCACTTTCTTCGAATTCCAATCTATGGCCTTTCAGACGTCGTAGGGAAATGAAAAAGTATTGCATGTTCTAAAAATCATTCTGAAAACATTCAACATTCTCCTTACTGTGTAAAATCTATTCCGTGCAGATTCGAGTGAAATGCTGTTGGGTTGCTTTGCTCAGAACTGCAACATTTTACGCCTCATAAAGAAAGTACGAGAGCAATGGAGAGTCAAACTTGAGCGAATGGGAGTTAGTGAGTACAAGTCTAATTCGCAAGTAAGAAGCAACTTGAAAGTTCTGATGAGCTAAATGGTGAGACGAAGCAAGCAGAAAAATAGTAAAACTATAAACAAATAAAAGTAGTATAATTTTGACGTTAAAAAACGAAATATAAGAAGTAAATAATAAGAGTAAATTTTCCCAAACAGACAGACCAATGGAATGATTAAAAAGTTGTTTTTGTGAACTTTGCAGTACGATAAGGGGATGAAAAGAATAGGAGAAAAGGAGATGAAACGGCTTCCTCCTCAACTACGCAGTAGATAAATAGTTGTTGTTATGCTAAAATGAAGTTACCCAACGGGAACAAGGCATTTTGATTGGTGTGATCTTTGAACAAATAATTGATAACGTCTACTTGAGTTTGCCAGTCGCCGACATGCATACTTGTTGTGAGATTCTGTTTCCGATCCTTGTCCTTTGTCATCAATCTCAATTTAGTGTATCCCCGTTCAGTATACAGTAGTACCAGTATTTATTATTTCATCTGTGCTTATTAGTACCACTAATATTTGAAAAATTAAAAATAAGAAATTTAAATAGCTATTTTATGTGTCATGTCCAACTAAGCGCAGGTACGTTGTTTTGTGTGTAAAGATAGAGAATAATGTATAAAGAGATTCAGCTGGCTGAGTGGATGCGAGAAGAACAGAGAAAAGAGATAAAAAGAGCGCTGGCAGTAAAGATAGATGAAAGGTAAGTGGCAGTCAGCTGGCCAGAAAGAGAAGAGAGAGAAAAGTTAGTTAACTTTAGACTGCTTTACTTTTTGTTGTTTGCTGTGCACTTTGAAGGAACTGTGTAAGCGTCGTAGTGTCGGTGGTTGGATGATAGCCACAAAATTAGCACTTCTTCCTCGTCCCGATCACGTCTACTAAAAACCTCTCCCGCCTACCTTCGCTGTTAGTCTAGGAATGAAAATGAATTTAAGCTATACCGTGGAGAAGAACGGTTGCAAAGTAAGCACTGAATCAGAAGTGATTTTTCGTTCACTTTTTTCGACGACCTTCCTTAGCTCGCTCGCAAGTGCTTCCATCATTGGTACAGCCGTTCTGATGTTTGTCAGATTATGAGTCTTTTTATGTTTGTACGTATGTCTCTATGGATGTGTATGTGTGTATGTCCGTGCGTAAATGTGTACATACCAATAGGAAGAGTACGCATTCCCTTTCGTTTTGTTCACATAAATTCATAGGGCGGAGCGATGAATATTTCAGATCATCAGAAAGAAGCAGCGAAGGCCGCCGGTCTTTGATCAATGTGGGCTGCCAGCAATGACTGAAGTGGCGACTGCATCAGCAGCGGTAGCAGCAAGGGCAGCAGCAGCAGCAGCAGCTTACGCAGCAGTCTCAAAGAACGTTGCGGTTATGTTGGGAAGTAATAGTAGTAGTAGTAGTAACAATGGTGGTAATGTGTCACCCGTATTGTCGTCATCGCAGCAGCTCTACTCTATTGAGTCCATCCTGAAGGCTGATCCAGGATCTCCTGCATTGAACGAGTCAACAAATACCATGGAGAACAACTCCGTTCCTTTGGTGGACGGTGAACCATCCATTTGGTTGGTCATTTTATTCCTTTTTCACTAAAATTGAAAATTCATGGCATTTTCCTGTACTTAGATTTCATTTCATTTTTAGCTTTCAACACTAAAATTCAATCAGTTCTGTCCAAACTATTATTTTCGATCATACTTTGTAACATTTCTTACTTCATCTCTTCATCATTCCATTTTTTCACAAGTTGCATACAAACTTCACTGTTTACTTCTATCTCTGCTGTCCATAATTTTTTTCCGTCATTTCTACCTGCTACTTGAGTTGATTAATTAGTCTTTCTCGACTAATTAACTTGTTAATTAATTACTCAGCTCACATATTGCACATAGTTGTGAATGCAAATCATTCGATTCGATTCCTACTCCTTTTTATGCACTCTTAAAAAATGACAAATGATAGGAACGAAATAATGTTCGATTATACTATTAGTCTATGAGATTTTTCATATGGTGTTTTGATGATGAAATTTGATCTTATATATCATTCTCCAAGTATTTCGTTAACAAATCTCCTTCTAAAGTATTTACCTCATTACTTGTCGTAAATGCGTTAATAGTTCACTGACTTTGACGTCTACTTTATGTCACAATACAAAGGTAGCTTTTCTTCTTAAAATTCATGGTTGTCTTAAAAATAGTACTTCCGGCTGTCCATCAAATAATGCCAATTTGATTAACTCGTCATTGTGATTTTACAATGGTGGTATTTCAGATGTGCAACATGTTCACTTAGCTCTTAGACAACATAAGAGTCTCATATCTTTTGAGTCTTATGCACGCTGAATTTTAAGAATTTTTATGTCTAATTTCATAAGAGGAGTTTGGATGCAGTGTTGCAATGATGCCATAAAATTTAGCTTAGACAAGACTGTAATCCTAAAAAAGTGACAGGAGAATTCTTCTTTTTCGGTGAAACAGATAATCTTTCGTAGATATTGCTGCTCCATTCATTATTCAGGGCTTTTCATTTTTATCTGGCTGGCAACAATTTGTACTTTCATTTATGTGTTTAGGTACTCTTCGTTTTTAGCAAATCCACAAGAATTTCCTCATTGTTTCAGTCAGTCATTAGTAATCGAAGTTTTACACGCATTGATAGAGAGTGAAAATAGTGTCAGGGCGGAAATGTTCTTTAGAACTATCAGAAAATTTCCGTTCATTCTCGATGAACTTGTAATTTGAGTGGGATTATAAGGCAAATACTGAATATTTATTACTGATGTATACGCAATTTTTGTCCATTTTATGCTTCTCACATAATATATGGTCTCTCACCAGCATTCTGCCCCACAGTAGATATGCAAAACATTAGCAGTGGTATAAGTATTGCTGTGGGGCATTTTTCTATCGTTAGGAAGACGAAATTGTAAAAAAAAAGAAAAACATAATATACTTATGATAATGAAAAACATTTTTTTTACTAAGATTTATTTCTCATGGAGTTTAACTGTTTCACCTAGACAAGTTCTAACCGTTAAACTATGATTTTTCACTTCATATTAATCTTTATAAATGTATGATAGAATTTGATTTTTATGGTCATCCACTTTTATATTATCGTTTACACATTTGTAGAAGAATTTGTGCTTTCGTATTATTCTGTTTTTCGCATTTTGAACGAAAGCAGTTTGAAAGATGAACAAAAAATTTTGTAGTTCCGTTTGCCATGATGAAGCGAGTGGCCGACATTATGGTGTTATAGCTTGCTTCGGTTGCAAGGGTTTCTTTCGGAGAACGGTTAGTCGTTTGTGCTAATTTAATAATGACTGACTGCTTAGCCGAAATTTCTTTGATACAGTGACATGGGATATATTTCTTATGATTTTTGACTAATTGATAATGACGTCAGCATGCAGTATTAGAGAGACGTTTTTATCATCAATCATTGGCGTATGAAACTTGAATCACAGAGAGTATTATTTAAAGTTTATTCGTGCGTCACAGAATATGATTTTTAATCATTTATTCATTGCAGGTACGTGCCGGGAAAAATTACGTTTGTCGTTATGACCAAAAGTGCAAAATTGATAAAGGTTATTATTGCGATTTGCTTTGTAAAAAAAGAATTTTTTTAGCATACTTCGTTATGTGTTTTTATTCCTGTTTACTGTCGTGCTCAAATTAGTTTATTGCTTGCAGATTCGTTATTATTTTTAATTAAAAACTGCATAGAAAAAATTGGACGAAGTCGAATAAGTAAAGAGTAAATGTCTCCTTATCAACAGTTGTATATCTGTTGGAAATTCCACATTCATCATGTGATAGGTTCTGGGTAAATAATCTATTAGGTTCCGGGTAAATAATAAATAGTGTGCGCATGTACATTAAAAGAGAACTACGAAATGTGGACATCGTTGAGTTCACTCTTTGTTGACCTTGCTCCTTGAAGAAAGGTTCTCATGAACAAAGATTACTTTCACTGAGCCGATCGATTCTGCCATTAGTCAGTGGCAGGCTCGTTCATAATTAGAAAGCAAGTTCGTCTTATTCTAGAGATCTCGCTGTTTTTTGTTAAGGTATCACGATTCTGCTTATATCAACAATTTTTTGTGATTTTGGTCTATGCAGCATAAATTTTATTTTAAATAATATTGGAATGCAAAAAATAAAACTGTATTTCAAAAACAGTGTTTTTAAGCCGGTCGCAACATTTGTCGATCTTGCCGTTTTCAAAAGTGCCTTCTAGTTGGAATGGAACCTGATGGTAAGTGTTATCATCTATTTGGTTTTAAGTGTTTTTAAAGATGCACAGCATCGAAGATTAAAAGATAGTTGTACTTTACTCACTGCAAAGAAGTAGCTTGCAGTAGTATTAATCTTTAGCCAGAAAGTCCACTTCGAAGAAAATGTTTTCTTGCTGCTTCCTTCTGCGTCATATTATATCTTATTATTAAGAACCCCATAAGTAATCCATTTATGTTTCCTGCCTTCTCTGCTTCCTTAGATTCTTTATAACTCTACTACCTATCATATGTACTTTTAATAGCCTTCCAACCTGAATATATATATAGTTTGGAGTAAAAGACTATAAAATAGATTTCAGCCATTCGACCAGATCGCGATAAAACCGGTAGACAGAAGAATCCGCGCCGGGGGACTTGCGAAAGCACTACTAACAAGTCAACAAATTCAGTATCTGGTGAACTACCCTCAGTCGGTCCTGAAAAGGATAGCACCATGAGTAATGCCGGTCGCAACAGCTCTCAGTCTATTCGTCAAAGTGGTACTACAAGTGGCGTGCAATTTTCCATACCTGTGGGAGATGAATCTGTCCTTGCAACATTATGTGAAATTGAACATATATGTAATCAGCTCCGAGATGCTCATCCTGTTGCATCCAAGGGTTCCATAACCCTACTTGATGCTGTTTTGCGTCCATCACTCATCGCTTCTCGATCTCCAGTAAGTAACCTCTGCAAAAACTTCATAAACTTTATCTAAGCCTTCGTGATTTGATCATTCAAGCAACTTATTGATTTTTGTTGCAATGCTCAGGCACTTTAGGGTATTCAGACCATATTTCAAGAAATTGGGCGGTAATATTAAGAATTTGTAGCTGATATTCGATGGATCTTTGGGTCTTGCTGGATGCAAAGAGTATTTAAAAAATCTAAGGCGTCTCACTGTATTGCTTTTTGATTATACCAATACGCTGAAGCCAATCGCAGATCTCTCTCCCAGTGAAAAGGTTTTTTTTAATATACAATATAATGTATATCATGCCTTTTTGCATATGTGTACATGTTTGATAACTCTTCTGAATGATTTTTATTTCACCATAAAAATAATAAGATGAGCACAGCTTTCATTTTTGATTAATTATCGTACTGTTTTTTCATCATAATTTCTTAGATATCCATCATTCACAATTGTGTGTCACAATTTGCCCTGCTTGTTGTTGCTTACCACACTGTGCGTAATACGGAGGCTGTCAACGACACAATTTTACTACCTAGTGGGCATTATTTTCATCGTGAAAAACCTGTCGTCATGAATGAGCATTGTGAAGATAAGCATATAATACTTCTGGAATCTCGCATTGAGTTCGTTTTCTTTGCATGTCAAAAGCGAATGTTGTTTTTAAGTTGAGTAAGAGCATCGGCTTTTATTTCAAATTTTAAGCACACAGAGATTTGCAAAAGCTAGAAGGAAAATGGTGCAATTTAATTCGAAATTGTTTTTTGGTTGACTTTGATATTTTGAAACGTTTTAGGACTGTGAAAAAAAATATTTTGGATGTTGTACTGAGCCCAATGCGACGTATGGACTTCACTGAAATTGAAATGGTTGCATTGAAAGCAATAATTGCGCTCGACCCAAGTGCTGCAAATCTCACAGAGCATGCTACATCTTTGTTAACTGTAGCTCGCGGGTCTGTTCAGAACGCTCTCTATGCACACCTTAGTAGTCACCTTTCACCTACTGAAGCAACTTCTCGCTTTGGCAACCTTCTTCTTATTATTGCCAGTCTTTCTGTTAGTGTTTTATTGTTATATTTCAACAGACCACATAATGAGAACCTAAAATTCTATAGTTCATTTAAATGGAAAAATTGAAACATAATAATGATTTGTAGAAAATGGGTGCAGCGTTGTGCAGTATGATGCAGTTATGCCGTGATTTATCAATGAATATTGATCCGGTGGTTGACGGGCTATTTTTTAATGATTCTTGTTGACGTAAAGCCTATCGGTGCCGATTTTTTAAGTGATCTGGTCAGTTTTACTGCCAAGCCAGCACAGGATCTCTTCTATGGCTCATGTCTTGTCGACGTGCTCACTTTAATCCAATATTTTCAAACGTGCTTTCAAATTTGGTACTTTTCTAGATGTGATACCATTTTATTATGGTTTTTCTGTGCCTTTTAAATTTAGTATGACGCGTAATTTTTTATTATTTGTTTAATTATTGAAGTATTGTTAAAGAAAAGTGAGCTGTTCGTTTTTCTTAACATGCACCGTTGCTTTCGATAGCGGCAGACACGATATCTAGGAAAATTACTGACTTGAATTTTTTAATGTCCTTTCGCTAGGTTATTTGAATACTGAGTCCTATAAATTGTAATACGGTGCTTTCCATAACCTTAACTCAGCTTGCTTCATTCCCAATTTTTACTAACCTTCGCAAAGCTATAAGGAATTGTGTCATGTAATTCTGGTAAGAACAAGTTTCTTCATTTCTGAAGATCTTTTTCTTTTGGTTTAATTTCTGACTGGCTTATAATCCCATTTAGGCTTGGCAGCTTACCTTTTTTCCGGTCTACATCTATGTTTCACTTTTTCTGTTGTTCGTAAAACGGTTTATTTCTTGTACACTTGTAGTTAACATGCCCATCGATTCATCTTTTACCTTAACGATGAAATATTCATTTTGTAGTGACTTAAAAAACATTGTTTTTCGTGTTTCTCCTGATCTATCATATTAAATTTATCTTCCAATCTTACGATTTACCTGCATCACCATGAGAAGTCAAAATAGAGTTCAGATGTGCATAAGTTAATGCAGTCCCTAGATATTGCATATCTTATTGCTGGGTAGAACATGATGTTTGGTAGTGTGGTCTCATTGTATTTTATGCATTTTCTGATAATATATTTCATTCCTAAACATGGAGCAGGAAGAATCAGGTTTTCACGTTTAAGGCTTTGATAAGGAATAGCCCATTCCGTTCTCGTCGTCGAAATACTGTGCATATTTTTCTGTAGATTACAAGTAATGTGGTTGGAAATGTAGCGTAGCAAAAGTAGTTTTGATTAAGTCATCAACAAATTAGTGTTACTACAACCTAGGATGTGTTTCTAATACCTTCTTGCTGTTAGCACATTGTACGCGAGAAATTCAGCACACTACGGGTTATTTTACTAATGGGCAACTAATGACTAGCATAATCATGCGCCATTACTGGTACTTCGTTGTGGTGCTTTCTGTTCCATTGATTTTGTTATAAATTAATTGGAAGATTTTTGCGCTCATTGTAAGTCGGCGAAGTTGTGTATAAAGGCAGACGAATGGACCAAAGATCGATGTTTGTTTTGCAAAATGATTGTTATTTGTTTACTTCTGCAAAATGCCAACGTTGCTAACGTAGGAAAACAGAGACAAGGATGTGAAGTTAGTTCTTTACATTGTAAATTTTACTTACAAAGAGAAGTTGCCTTTTAATTGAGAAATGTGCGAACGGTTTCTGCTGATAAGTCACAAATAATTCGTCCTTTGAAAACCATCCTAACAATGAAGATACTTTCTCCAAGCATTAAACACAAGTTTCGTTCTCATTTATAGTACCGAATTTCGATTCAAAAATCGTATTAAGTGATTACCTTGCTGTAATGATATGGTGGAATATGTATGCTACTTACTGATTGCAAGCACACTTGTAGAATTGAAAACTATCAATCTTTAATAGGTAGATGAAATGTAAAATTTTCCTATAGTTGGCTAGTGCGTGAGTAGTAAGACCATTTTGTTTATTAAAACTGCAGACTATATTGTGTTGCCATCAATATTGCAGTGATGAAAGTGAAAACATGAAACATGATCTTGCAAGAATATTATTTCTGTCACGATAGAAAAACATCAGCATATTTCGAAGACTTGAAAGTGTTCGTGCATTTTTAGTTTTATATTTTTCATATTAAAAACTAAAGTGAAAAAAATTTTTTTCTGGTGCTTTGGCTAGCAAAAAAAAAACAAATTTTTCAAAATTACTTGATGTTTATTAATTAGCATAAGATAAAGTGATGCGGTAGGAGAAATGATATTGAATTAGGAGAGGAATTAATTTGAGTTTTTGTATGCATATGTAATGCAAAAGCAAAATGGAACTTTTACTTAATGAAAATGTGAATATTTTTAACGAGATGAGGTCTTCAATGAGATGTGTTTTGGTCAGAAATTCCGTGGACTAGAGAGAGAAATAGTGGTGAGTGGTGATCAAACATTGTTAATTGCTTCGTACTCAATAAATTCTAAAGTATTTCCTATCTGCATATGCACCAAAAGAATGGCAGACATGGTAAGTTCATTAGCAATTTCATGAGATTATGCGTTTTATGGAGATTGCGATAGTTGAAGAGTGGTGATTAGCTTTTGCATGAATAAGTAGTACGAGCAGAAGGAAAGACTAGACTGCGTACTGCTTTTGATAGATGATAGATGGGTTTTTTTTCCGAGTTGCCTTGTAAAATTTGCAGAAAAGCGGACAGGTAGCTGCACTCTGTGTGTCACTTGTCAGAGCTGAAAGCGTTGCTTTGTCATAAAAGCAATGAAGCACTTAGCAGCCATGCAACTTACACATCATTCATTCGTGTACTATGAATGGTAAGATGCAGAATTTAATGTGCAATATTCTTTACCATTTTTACTTGATGTTTATCACAACTTTGAAGAATTTCTTTTACATTAAATACCACACCCTTAATAGCTGCCCTTTAATCTTTTTTCCTCCACCCTCCACTTATATATTGTATGTCATGAAAAATAAGCAAAAACATATATACACACCGAAAGTATATTTCACTGAATAATTACACAGTTTGTGTGAGGAACAAATTTGAGACTCATTAAGAATTCTTAGCTGGCATTGATCAATCTCCATTCATATTTAAAAGCACACACGAAAGGATAAAGGAATGCTGCACTTTGGAAGGAAATAAAGCAAATTGTCGGAAGTAAAATCGAATGCAGAATACGAGAGGAGAAGCTTAGCGCTGTGTGCAATATAATAGGTAGTTATGCCTGCTTTAAAAAAAGTGACTTTTGACCGTAGACAAAAAAGAAAAAAACAATTGTTCGTTTTCGTGCATTGAGACTAAAGAATAGTGGTGGCCATTCATTGCAGGAGACAATGTCTGAAATGAATTAGTTCAAGATGTCACATTTTCATGTTTACAGTCTTGGGAATTTGTTCTTTGTTCTTTTATCTTAGGCAGTTTGCATTCATAATATTTGACAAATCATTCCAACATAAGCCGATAAAAACATCTAAGTAATGATCTGGAAAGCATATGTTTAGTCTTTCACTTTCACTATAAGCTTTACTTGACGTTGACCTATAAAGTTGGAATACCGATCAGAAATAGGACAAAGAGAAGCAGACTTCGACTGATTAAGAAACGCAAATCATAGATTTATTCAAGGAGTCATTTTGCTGGTATGATCAGTAAGTTATGCCCTATTTCCATCTTCACTATGAACAAATATAGTAGCTAAAAAACAAAAAACTTGCTATAACTATTTAGTTAATTCGGATTTTGTCTTAAAATGGTGGTAATTATTGTGTGTCATAAACATACATCTTTCTGATTTACTAACAAATACTTCAATCCGTTTATTTTTTTCTGTTTCACTATTGTTATCACTGACAACAATGACTCGCATGATTTTGTGCTCAAGATTACTAAATTAGAACATCACAGGCATTTGCATTATTTTGTCCGAAAGTGCCCATAATTAATAGTGACATACTCACTAGGACGTAATTACTTGTTTTTAAAAGAACTTGGAGGGTTCGTTTCGCACTATTTATATTCTTTGGTGAGATGTTTATTAAATTCAATCTGAACTATTCATGAATGCAATACTCTTTTTCTCCCCCTATATATA